ATTGTGGGGGGGGGAGGGTGTTGATTTGGCTGCAGAGGGAGCGCATGGCTCATAGTCAACCTCCCTTTCCATGCCCTGACTCTGTGTGTCACTTTAGTAAAACCAGTAGGAAAAAACCAACGTGGCTGGAAACTAGGAGACTCTGGCAAGTCTGCATGTGGGGATCAGGAAACAAAATGTCTCATGGGCCACACGTGGCCTACCGGACATAGGTTGTGCACCACTTTTGTAAGGTACCAATGGAAAAGTTGTAATTTGCTAAGGACGATCCTATTCTGTGTCTCACCTTTGCATTGTGAGTAAGAAATATCACACACTGATACCACAAACTTGTGCTTTTCTGGGTGATTTCCTCCCATCCCCCAGACAGATTGGCATCAGCAGGATGTAGCCTGCTTAATTTCCTGTCAAGGACAATCAGGGTTACAGTGAATTCACTGAAAAGACAGGGGCTATGGCCACGAGTCAGCAGGACTTGAAGGGACATGCCTGTGGACAGGGGACACAAGGGCCTTCCAGTGCCCACGTACTGTGAGCTTGTTTGGGACGGAGGCTGCACAAGCTATACCACAAAGGCTATAAAAAGGCAACTGCATCTTCTCCATTTTGTCCTCATTCTTGCTTTGCAACTCTGCCGTAATTCTTTACAAATGGAAGCTCTGAACAGAGGACTTAATGGACCCATCCAAACCTTGGATGCATTCCTGAGGGACTTGCAAGCCAGCAAACTCACCCTTACTGCTAAGAACCTTCTATATAGACTCAGAATTCTTAAGTATGTGGGATCAAGCTGACCATTTAACAACTCTTGTCTGTCTTTTCTTGTATAATCGTTTGAGTTAGATACTCAAGGCTGGGGTGACTGGTATTTTGGGTCAGCTCCAAAGTAGTGTCCCCTTTAGGGATCAAAAGAATATTTTTAAACAGTAAGTTTGAAACTAACTGCACTTTACTGGACCGATGTGCTGGCGGGAGCCAGAGACTGGGATGTAATAAGGCAGCAGAGATGACAGCCTCCATGGGCAAGGTGGGGAGGCCCAGGCTACACACTCCTAGAAGGGGCGGGGCCAAAGGCAGCCAGCTTTTAGTACTGCCTGGCGTGGGCAGTCCAGTGCTCCAGTGGAAACTTGAAGGGCCTTCTAAAGTTGTTTAGTTTACAAATAAAAAGAACTAAGGGCTTGTCCAGTGTAAATTAACAAGTGGATTATCTATTCCAGACTAACTCCATGTGTGAGCGACAAGGAGTCCTATGGCACCTTATAGATTAACAGATGTATTGGAGCGTAAGCTTTTGTGGGCAAAGACCCACTTTGTCGGTTGCATGAGTGGATCCATGTGTGGATGATCTTACTCTGAACCAGTTTAATCCATTTCTAACATGGATTAAACTAATTGGAGTAAGACACACTCTGGTATAGGTGCATCCATGGATGGTGTGTGTTGGGAGTAATTTTTCAGGACTAACTAATTCTCCATCTAGCGGAGTAACTATGAATGGAATGATTTCGGATTGAAGGGATGTCTCAGATGGTATTTCACAGGGATCTGTTCTGGGTACAGGGTGTTTAACATTGATAAATGACCTGGATGTAGGAGAAGAGAGCATGCTGATCAAATCTGCAGATGACAAAAAGCTAAGGGGGAATGGCAGTGCTTAGGAGGATGGAACTAAAATTCAGAGGGCTCTTTATAACTGAGCTATAAACAAAATGAAATTCAGTGACGACAAGTGTCGTGTGCTACCCCTGGGGAAGAAAAAACATATAGAATAGGAGGTAACTAGCTTTTCAACAGCACTGCTGATAAGGATCAGGGAGTTGTGGTGGATCACAACTTCAATATGAGTCCGATGTGCTGCTCTGGATAAAACAACACAATTTTAGATCACGTCTTCGCTTGCCATGCTAGAGATCAATCTTCTGGAGTTTGATTTAGCAGTCTAGTTAAGACCTGCTAAATCAAATGCTGAGGGTGGCCCCAGTCAGCAGCAGTACTCCTAGCAGTTGTGAGGAGTAAGGGAAGCTGACAGGAGAAGACAGTGCCAGCGTTAGCGTAGGGTACGTCTAAACTACATGGCTCCGTCGACGGAGCCATGTAGTTTAGACGTACCCTACGCTAACGCTGGCACTGTCTTCTCCTGTCAGCTTCCCTTACTCCTCACAACTGCTAGGAGTACTGCTGCTGACTGGGGCCACCCTCAGCATTTGATTTAGCAGGTCTTAACTAGACTGCTAAATCAAACTCCAGAAGATTGATCTCTAGCATGGCAAGCGAAGACGTGATCTAAAATTGTGTTGTTTTATCCAGAGCAGCACATCGGACTCATATTGAAGTTGTGATCCACCACAACTCCCTGATCCTTATCAGCAGTGCTGTTGAAAAGCTAGTTACCTCCTATTCTATATGTTTTTTCTTCCCCAGGGGTAGCACACGACACTTGTCGTCACTGAATTTCATTTTGTTTATAGCTCAGTTATAAAGAGCCCTCTGAATTTTAGTTCCATCCTCCTAAGCACTGCCATTCCCCCTTAGCTTTTTGTCATCTGCAGATTTGATCAGCATGCCAACTCCATCTATGTATTTTACCTCTACCTGACTTTCCAGGTCTATTGTAAACCTGGCCTTAGTTTGCATTTCAGGCTCCAGGGAAGTCAACCCATCCTCTCTTCATAAGCATTAAAGCCCTTCTAAAAGTTGTTTTGAGTTTACAAATAAAAAGAACTAAGGGCTTGACTTGATATTTTAGCAGGCAAGTCCTGGGAGTTGGCAACACCCCTCTGCTCAGCCTTCGTTAGGCCTCAGCTGAAGTTCTGTGTCCAATTTTGGCCACCACTGTGGATGTAGAGAAATGGGAAAGGATGCAGTGGCAAGTGACAGATGATCAAAGGGACAATGCCAGATGCATGAGCAAAGGCTGAGGGAACTTTCTTTTGGAAGAGAGAGAAAGGGGGACACATGACAGTGGTCTTCAGATATCTGAAAGCCTGACACACAAGATGCAGCAAAGTTGTTCTTTTGACGGAGGGCAGGGCAAGAGGCAGTCACTTCACATTACAGCATAAGTGGATTTAGATTAAATCTCAGGAAGTGTCCTCCATCTAAACTGCAGCAGGACAAGGGAACAGACTCCCTCAGGAGGTTGTGGAAGCTTCTTTGCTGGAGATTTTCAAAAGGAGGCTAGAGAGCCATCTGTCTCAGATGGTTTAGACCTCAAATCCTGCCTCTTAGGTCACCCGTACGGTCCCTTCTAACTCTGGTTCAAGGATTCTATGGGTACCTCTACCATTAGGAACTACAGAAAGATGTGTTCCAGGCTGAGAAATGCTAAGGGACAGCTTTGGAGTCTTAGAGCTTCACTTGTCCTGCACAGGTAGTTCTGTTCCTTTTAAAACAAGATGTCATTCTATAGAAGTTGGCATACAGGGCAGGAGGAATTTTAAAGCTCTAGGTCTGTACTCTAGGGCAGAGTTTTCCTAGCATGTGCACACAGCATATAACAATATATGCCTGCAAAAATTCCAGAAGAACCTACCTCCTTCAGGTGTTGTGAACTCCTTAATTTCACTCCGAGGCCCATCTCCTCTTCCATTGACTACAACCATCTCCAGTTTGTAGTTGCTGTAAGGAAACAGCCGGGACACTATGCCCCGTGGTCGATCTCCAACAAAACCCACAGACTGCCTTTTTTTGGAGACCCACAGGTTCTTCAGCAAACTACTTTCTCTCCAGAAATAGGCCTTCAAGAAATACGTATGGCAAGTGAAGCTTTTCCCATTCAGGCACGATTGGTTTTCATTAATAAAGCACAACAATTCTTTGCTTCTTAAAGCGCTTTAGAAATATTAATTAAGCTTCATAACTGCCCGAGAAGTAGGTCAGTATTATTATTCCCATTTTACAGATGCAAAACTGAAGTTCAGTCAAGCTAAATGATTTGCCCAAGGTCACAGTCAGCTTGGAGCTCAGGATAGAACCTAACAGTTCTGGCTTTCCACCTTCAGAGCTCTAGGCAGAGAGCATTACCTCTCCAGATGACTTAGTTTTAACTATAAAGAAAAGAGGAGGCTTAAGTTTGTCCAGCCACAACTTCATCTGAACTTGAAAAGATGCTGTAACATATCTAAACAGATTTGAGACTGAAAATAGATACACAATGGTATACAAGAGAGTCACGGGAATGAAGGCAGAATCCAAAGGATTTTCTATGAAAAGTGGATTCTTGGATTTGAGAAGTATGACCATGTACAGAATGTTACCAACCTGTATTCTTGATAAATTGTCAAAAGTTCTATCCCACTTTTGATTAAGTCAAGACTTTTGCTGCTTGTGATCAGGGAATCCAACTGGCACACGCGAGAATTATTAGCAGTGCATACATTTGATACAAAAAACAGCATGTTTATCTTTGTACTTTAGTTTTCAATTAGTATGGTTTGTTTTAAATCTTGTTTGCATCAAATCCAGACAGCATAGATTAAAACAGATGGTGTGTACATTAGGGATGACACAAAAATCAGTGATTTGTATTGGAGGGTTCCTTTCTCCTCCTCCCTGCCTCCCCCCACAAAACTATGTAGGCTGCATAATGATGAAAGGTTGTAAATTAACCATGCTAGAGAGACAGGTGTTGTCTTGTTGTTTAGGTATAATTCAAGCAGCAGCAATCCTCAATCCTGCTTAGCAGGTACCACCTTTATGGGTGGAGAAAAGTAATGCTGTTTCCATAGCCATTAGTCAAACATGCAGGCCCCCCAAACAGAGAATATCTCCTGGAGATAAGAACAACGATTCTAATCAGTAGCACACATTAGGCTGTGTGTGTTTGCATTTGCAGAACTAAGTCTCATTCCAGTCCTGCAGTCATTTAAATCTTTTGAGTTCTGTCATTGAAGTTCAATGGGAGCAGCATCTGACCCTAAATCAGTCCCTACAAATATGATCTCAGTAGCTCTTGTTACCCAGGCTAATGTTTGTTTAATGCCTGGAAATTTCTCTAGCCTTCAATAATCAGATATTCTTCCAGAGTGGCTAGGTGTGATCACTAGTGTGCCCACATAATGAGGACACCCAAAGTTTAGACCCAGCTGACTGTTTTATGTCATCCCCACTGCATCCTGGTCACATCACCAGGTCACTGTTTGTGAGCAAGGTTAGCTGTATTAATAGGCAGTGTCCAAACAATTTGGTTTTGCTCACTCTGTATTCCTTAAGTTGTCCCTGGATGGTATCCGGGTATACTCGGTTCCATTGGAGACCAACTGCTGTGCTGTTTATAACTTTCAGCCTAATATCAGTGGGGGCAGCCTTGGGATCTAAGCATTCAGGAATAAAGCAAAGTGTAGATTAGGCACTTTTAAAAATCCCCCCAGTCATCTTCTCCCCGTCTCTTCTGACATTTGGGTGTTCCAGTGTTTGCCTTCTGCGATGCCAGCTAGGCCATTTTGGGGCATTTTGCTTTGCATTCCACAGGCATCCTGGAGTAAATATCAGATTCACAAACACCCCTGCTGCCATCTTGTGGCATTCAGGAGCAGTTCTGTCTAGGTGTTAGTATTTGCAGGAAGACTGGCGCTCGCTTGTGCAGTTATCTCAACATAAAGTCACAATCCTGTCACACTAAAGGATTTTTGCAGCTGATGCCACATAATACAAGTGCAGGCAAATTCTAGAGTTCTTGGATAAACTACTTAAGTTGCTCCAGGGATGAATTGGTGTCTCACTGCCATGCAGTAAATATACACACATCACAAAACCAGGAAATCAAAATCCAGAATGTATTATTTATCTCCCTAACACCTTTCATCTGAAGATCTCAAAGTATCCTCCTGCCCTAGCAGGGAGCTGTGAATGAAGTATTACATATTCCAGGCACAGCGGTGAAAATCCACTCCAGCTCCCTGCCCCTCTCCCCACAAAGTTAATGGCAGAGCTGGGAATTCAGTCCAAGAATCTCTAGTCAGACGCTTCTACTCTAATCATCAGACAACACAGCCAACTTTCTAAGCCGTGTACTTTAAAACATGTCTATGATGTGCTAGTATCTGTCCATTTGCCAGGTACGAGGAATTATTTCCTCACTACACAAGGTCTTGCTAATCTTAGGCATCTTAGATTATGAAAAGGTCAATTGTTTATGTTCAACCCTGATGAAACACTAGGGCTGCGTCTAGATTGGTATGATTTTCCGGAAATGCTTTTAACGGAAAAGTTTTCTGTTAAAAGCATTTTCGGAACAGAGCGTCTAGATTGGCACGGACGCTTTTGCGGAAAAGCGTCCGTGCCAATCTAGACGCGCTTTTCCGCAAAAAAGCCCCGATCGCCATTTTCACGATCAGGGATTTTTTGTGGAAAACAAATCTGAGCTGTCTACACTGGCCCTTTTGCGCAAAAGGGACTTTTGCCCGAACGGGAGCAGCATAGTATTTCCGCAAGAAGCACTGATTTCTTACAGTAGGAAGTCAGTGCTTTTGCGGAAATTCAAGCGGCCAGTGTAGACAGCTGGCAAGTTTTTCTGGAAAAGCGGCTGATTTTCCGGAAAAACTGGCTAGCCTAGACACAGCCAAGGAGCCAGATTCCCAGCTGGTGTGACTTGGCATGGCTTCACTGAAGCCAGTGGAGTTACTCAGATTTGCACCTCAGCTGAGGAGTTGATCAAAGTGTGCACAAGGGATATTAAAATGGTTTAGCCATTTTAACTTCGGTCCTGCCATTCGGCCCACCATCCCATCCAGGGCTGCTCTAGATCGTCCAGTTAACCAGTAAGCATTGCAAATTATGACCCAGGGGCTGGATCCAACCCATCTAACATTTCTGTCTGGACTACAGTACAGAGAGGCACTCAGGCAGGCTGCCTGCCTGCCATGGCCCTTTGCCACTGTGGGGAATGGTGTGGGGGCATGGCAGGCAGTTAGTCTGCCTGAGTGCCCCATGGCGCTGCAGGCTGGCAGCTGCCTGTGGTAAGCACTTCCTAGCCAGAGTCTGCACCTTGCACCCCGTCCCACAACTCCCTGCCCCATGTCAGAACCCCTTCCTGCACTCCCACTCCATCCCAAGCCCTGCACCCTTTCCACTGATATAGTTGAAATGTGCAGCCCATGGTGACTTCAATTTTATGCCATAGGCCCCCAGCACAATTGATTGCTCATGCCTGTGCTTGCTGCAGCCTCTGACAACACTGCTGAGCCGGAGGGAGCCTTGAGCCTGGGCTTGATCACATCTGCAGAGTTGCTGCTAGGACTGCTGCTGCCTATTTACCCGAGGGAGACCGAAGACATCCAGGAGGTGAGGTACCAAATAAAGGGGGTAGCAGGAAGTAGCCCATGGGTGCTAGACTGGTTCCCCTCTGAACTAGTGACAGAACATTCCTTCCACCGGAGTAGGGCCTAGACTCCCTCCTGTCAACCCCAAGGGTGGCAGCCTCCCTACCATAGCATAGGCCAAGAAGCTGGTACTTGTCTGCCAGAGCTAAGACTACTTGCTGCTCCACCTTGCCCGAGGGCCTACATCCATAGGCTGCTGGGTGTGCTGCCAGCCCCAAAGGGTCAGGCACTGCCCCAGATTGACCAATTCCCCGATACCAGGCAGTGACTCTGATGTGATGAGACTCAGACGGGGAGGAATGACCACTACCCCTCCACCCAACAGCAGAGCGACCCTTTGCTTTCACACCCAATCATCTAGGTGTACGGAGGGTAAAAAATGGACAGAGCTTTGAGTTCACTGTAGCTTGAACAAGAACGTCGGATTTCTGCTAGAATAGGCCTTTGAAATTATTGTACCCACCCCACTGGAGTATTGGACACCCTGGCGAAGGGTTTCAAAAGTGATGCCTGATTGGATCTAAAAGTGGGAGGCTTAGAAAGGGTGGAACACACCTGTCCTCTGACAATCAGGTTCCTTCAAAGGTGTCAAGTGAGAGACCCCCCAATCCCTGGTTGCTGTTGAAAATCTCTGCTGAAAATTATTGAATACAAGCTAGATGCAGTTCCTTATGCCAAAGGTCAAACTAAAAAGGATTATCATGGTGATCTAGCCTTAATCTTAAGTGGTTATGTATTTAACATGCATGCCTTAGCAGATCACAAAAATCACCAGGACAGGGGAGCTGGGTGCAAACACAGAACACGTAACGTCTCTTTTCTCACGGCAGAAACAGCTCCGCAAAACAACCAGTTTATGGGGTGTGGAAAGGAGAACAAGGCAGTAAGAGATCCTCAGTTCACAGTAAAGCCCTCCCTGAACAGCAGAGGCCATTCCAACATGCAAGAGGCAAGTTTAGTTTGCCCGAAAGAAACAGCTGGTGAAAAACTTGTGCAAGAGGAATTCAGTTATGTGAAGCGTTAGACAAGATGCAGGACCAAGGACGGAGCAGCCCTTAAAGGCTAATGGGATTTTTTCCCTTATAGAAATATTTTTCACTAGACCACTTTGAACTAGGAGAGGAAATGGGAAATCTGTGAATGTTTAACATTTCCTTGAAAACGTCTAAAGCCACGTCTTCACTCTGGGGAAGAGCGACACTGCTGCGATCGATCTTCCGGAGTTCGATTTAGCAGATCTAGTAGATCCTCGAACTCAGAGGGTGCCGCTGTCAACAGCTGGTTCTCCTGCTCCTGTGAGAAGTAAGGGAAGCCTATGGGAGTATTTTCTCCCATTGGCCCCCCGCTGTGGGGACGGTGGGGAAACTTGAATCACAGTACATCAACTCCAGGTATGTAATTAATGTAGCTGGAGTTGCATATTTTAATTCAACCTTCCCCTTGAGTGCAGATATGAGCCCAGATAACTAAGGATTCCTAGGGTCTATCCAGGGGAGGGAGTGAAATGGTCCCTTGGAAGTTTGAATCTGTTGAAGACACCTCCCAACAGCCAGGAGTGACTGTAGCAGTAAGCTGTACACAGTGCCTGGTCAGACATGCCGAGTTGACACAGCTCTGACACCGATTGGCACTGCAGGGTGTCAGAGTCAAAAAGCCCGTGGAACAAAGTGGGTAGATATCAGTACAGACATTACCTAGCACAGAGCAGCTAGGTCAAACAAAACTCTTCTGCCCTCACCATTTAGTTACACACACAGGAGAATTGGATCTTTCTAGTGTGCCCACCCACCCAAGGAGGGATGCAACTCAACTGCGATGGCCCCTAAGGTTGTTGGGTATACCGAGCTAACTCTACAATGGCTGAGTTGTACAAAGTCTCTTGTTGCAGAATGGCCACACAACCCAACATCTGATTTGCTACTGTTAACATAGCCCCAGCTTCGTGCCTGGAGAACCTTTGAATAAACTCTGGCCACATTAGCCCACAAAGGTGTTGTCCACTAAGAATGTTCAGGCTAACACTGGGTTTTATGTCTTTCCTCCTAGGTCCAAAGGAGATGTTGCCACACTGAGTCACACAGAAAAACAAGCTGAAGGTAAAGAGAGAGACATGGAAGTGAAATTAAAATACTTTGAAGGTTAGCATCTTTAGAGAAGCAGCAATGAAGAAAGCTCAGAAGTCGTTTAGCCTGTTACATGTGGTAATTCACTAGGGGCATGTAAAGGGTCTAGTGTTCATACTTTTGTTTCATGTGTTTTTTATAACTATCTCAGAGTCTCTTATGAAGCTAAAGAACGTGCGATTAGCTGAAATACTTTCTTCAAGACAACCTCTCACTTTAGTGTAGTTCTAACAACATGTAACAGGTGCATTTGGGAGCCTGCAGAATCCAAATGCACAGTTCCCATGATGGTATTTAAAGGGAGAGAAATACCTTAAGGAAGTGGAAGCTGGCAACTGTGCAGCATCAAAGTACTGTAGTAATGTTTGTTAGTGTGGGAGGAAGGTGATAATCTCTGCTGTCTAGCTATTCTTTTTGCCCATAATCACCAACTTCAAGAGGCATAGCTCTGGCCTGTAGGGTTTGGGGTATTTTCCACCGTCACTTGAGCAGTAATACCCCACATTTCCTGTTCCATGATTGTGTCCAGTTAGGGGCAGATGGCCCTTGTTGTATTCTAGATGATCCTATTTCCAGAGACTGTGGGTCTCCTTTTCAGATATACCAAGTTCTTTGCGTCAAGAACAAGGATTTCAACTCACAGCTCCCACTCATGTAGTGCAGTAGAGATGGAACTAAAATGTGTCTTTTAAAAATAAACCCGACAGCAGACTGTTACAGTTCAGAGCCCTTGTCTGTTGCAGGCATTGAAACCCGCAGCCCAGAAGAAAGGAGTAGGAGATACATCACTATGGTTACTGGTGTGTTTTTAAATATTAGCTCAAGCCATAGCACAGCAATTCAATCCAGGATTTCATGCAAGATGACCCCCTTAATTAATTTGCACTAGGCTCAGAGCAGAGGAAGGAGTTACCTGCAGCTCAGGCAGACACCCGTACTAGCTGTAAAAACCTAGTGAGGCTGGCTAAAAAGAGATGAGCTGGCCCCACAACCCCCCTCAGAACTCTGGGTCATGCAATCACCCATGTAAGTTCAACACTGCTGTTCCCAGCTCTACTTTTCACCCAATGGCTAAAGAACCTTGGACTTCGGTATGAATAACCAGAACTCTGCCCTCCCTGCCTCACTCCCAGAAGGGAGATAATTCCAGTTGGCACAAAGGGAGGTTCAGCCTTTTGGCTTGGAGCTGCACAGGGATTTTGGTGACTGAGCTAGGGATGGAACCTGAGGAGTCTTCTCCTCTCTGGAGTCACCTGGAACTGGATTCCTGAGCCACAGAAAGCATGGCTGTAAAGGTGTCCCCCTGAGCTGCAGTGCTGCTCTTCCATCTCCAGTGGGCGTGGAAAGCTTGGCTAACTTTTACTTAATAGCTTCGGCTAGGAAAATACTCACAATCTTCCCCTGAAAAGCCGATGACAACGTCCGGCTCTGGAGCTCTCCCGAAGTTGTTCTCTGCCTGCACTTTGATTTCATAGGGCACGTAGATGGGTGTATTCCAGACAACGTGCCTTGTGGTTCTCACCGTCACGTTGCTCCAGCTCTCCCGCGTATCCCTTTGCCTCCACTTCACTATGTACCTGAGGTCGGGCCCGTAAGCTTGGGTGGCATTCAGCGGCTTAGTGGGCAAAAAGAGAACTTATTACATTCACGTCTATGGCACAATATAGGCATGAATAAAAAGCTGCGCTATATCCCTCTTCCTACCAATGACTTGGGCTTCATTTCTTATGGCAGCTATGTAGATCCCAGGCAGGATGTATGGCTGTATTAGGAATAAACATCTGTCATTTGAAAATGTCTATATAATTATCCTAATTTGAGGCTTCCTTCAAGTAGCAAGTCTCAGACTATTGCTTTATGTACCCTGGAAAATGTGTTCGTTAAGCGTGTACATGGACACTTGAAGGGGAAACATTAGATAAACACTGCTTCCAATTATTATTTAGACAAGAGGGGGGCAGCTCCCTCAAGATCAGGTGTAATCTACATTTTTCTTTTGCTTCCACTCCTACGAACAGAACTTGGAGCCAAAGCTTCTGTTTCTTCTGAGCTGACTGATTCAAGCTCATCTCTAAGGTCAGATCTCCACTTACTGGCAGATGGATGCTCTCGTAATCAATCTTCCAGGGTTCGATTTAGCAAGTCTAATAAACGCTAGCTAAATCGAATGCTAAGGGTACCCCGGTCGGCACTGCTACTCCTTGCTGTCACGAGGAGTAAGGGAAGTTGACAGGAGCATTTCTCCCATCGATCGCCTGCCGTGGAGATGTCACCAAGCTCGGCTTAAGGTACATCAACTCCAGCTACGTTATTTATGTAGCTGGAGTTGCGTACCTTAAGTGGAACTTCCCCCTCCACAGCGTAGACCTGGCCCAAGTTACAGCATGATCCTGCTTCTGTAGGGACTATAACAGAGTTTAAAGAGAAGCTAGATAATTTCATGGAGGTTAGGTCCATAAAAGGCTATTAGCCAGGGGATAGAAATGGTGTCCCTGGCCTCTGTTTGTCAGAGGCTGGAGAAGGTTGGCAGGAGACAAATTGCTTGGTCACTGTCTTCGGTCCACCCCCTCTGGGGCACCTGGTGCTGGCCACTGTCGGCAGACAGGCTACTGGGCTAGATGGACCTTTGGTCTGACCCAGTACGGCTGTTCTTATGTTCTGTAACCCTAACCTTAGATTCAGATCTTCTAATTAGCAAGCACTGCAGAGTGTGTCTTTCGGGGTGCTATCAAAAAATAAACACTATACAAACTTGCATGGGACTTGATTGTTCTGGCAGTTTGCATGGGACTTGATTTTTCTGGCAGCTATCTAGAGTCTAAGGGGGAGACAATGAGGAGTGATTTAAATGTGCTCACCTTAAAAGGGCCAGTGCTCTGAGAATAATCTTAGCATTCCTGTGAGACTTTCCTCAGTCTAATGGTTAATAGCCCTTGGTGGTTAAGGGGAAAGAATAAGCAGGATCAACCTTGACTCAAGAGCAGCCAGAAGCTGAAGGTTTTATTGAAGGCCCTTGAAAGAAAATAATCTAGAGCTAAAGGATTCTGCAAACCCCAGCACCCTCAGCTGCTGGGGAGTCAAAAAATTGCACTCACTGTCCAAGTGATCTCCATGTTGTTTTTTTGAGTCCCGGCTCCTTGAACACCTGTAGGGTTGATTTCTGGACCTGAAATCCACATCAAAACCTTTCCTTACAATGTTGAAAAATGACACAGGCAGTGAAAAGCCATGCACGGTGCAAATCTGGACACTTGTTAATAAACGATTGGGAAAATTGGACCACTGACTAGTGTGGTGTGGGTTGGGTTTGTGTGTTTTGTTTTCAGAGTGCTTGGCTCCCATTCAGGATAATGCAAGGTGGAAAGCTGCAGGTTTCTCAGCACTTTTCAAAGTCAGGCCACAGATTTTGGTTATTTTCAACTATCTAGGCTTATACCTTTTAGTGGGTGTCTTTTGTGGGAAGTGCTATTGTTCAGTTTTACATTAAGCAATGATCTGTGATCCACAAGCCAATGGATGCCCTTCTGTAATCTGAAAGGAGCAGAGCAGGCAGCTAATAGCAGGCAGCTATTAGAGGGGATACATACTTTTATGGGCACTTCAAGTTTACTTCACTAAAAGACTTAGGGTACGTCTACACTGCATGGCTATTCCAAAATAAGCTATTCCAGAATAGTTCTTCCGAAATAGCTTATTTTGAAATAACACGTCTACATTAGGGAAGCCTGCCTCAGGCTGATTTTGAGGCTTCCCTGCAGTGTAGACGTGCTATCTCGATATAGAGCTGTAGGAGGCACTGGGGAGGAATAACTTAGAATGGCCCTGGTGGGGGCTATTTGAAATAGCAGCAGTGGAGCATCTACACACCCCTTATTTCGAAAGAGCGATTTCGGAATAGGCGTTATTCTTCATAGAATGAGGTTTACAGATTTCGGAATAAGTCGTCTGTTTCTAAATTATTTTGAAATAACGGAATGGCTGTGTAGACGCTCGCATTGTTATTTTGAAATAAAGCTAGTTATCTCAAAATAACGGTGCAGTGTAGACGCATAATCACCTCATGACACAAATATCATCTTGCTGTGTATTTCCCTGCAGCATTGACCGCACACGTGGGGATCTCTGCCAATACCTGGGAATAGCAGAGTGAGTTAGCAGTTTGGGTCTTTTACCATTGATCCTAGGGGGTCTAACCACACTGCCACTGAGAGCCTGCCTTCTCAGTCTGAGCTCAGCAGGCTAGCTCATGCTGCAGTGTCCACACGGCGTATTTTTAAGCATGCTTTGAGTGGAGGTAGTGTGTCTGTATCTACCTCAGCAGACATACCCCTTGGATCAAATTGTTAAAGAAGCTTCTAAGTCTCCTTGTAAGGGGCGGAAGGATTTTCCTTCTTTCCGTAGCATCATGGACAACTTGCTTTATTTTGAGGGTCTCCCTTGATGCAGGTTGCACCAGAAAATTATATACCTTGACTCTCTCAATTGGAAGTTTGCCTCTGTGCACGGGACTTAACCAAATAAATCAAGATTCATCCTTAACCATCAGCACATGGACCAGGTTCTGCTCTGTCACATCTCTGGACTAACTCCACTGAGGTAGGTGGAGTGATTGTTGGCTTTATGGAAACATGGGCTTGTAATAAAACTCTAACCAACTCTCACCTGTCACATCAAATCAGATGGTAGCCCAAACCCATGTGGCAAACACAGCCCCGTGCCTGAGAGCAGAGCCAGCACGGTGAGCTAAATGGAACTAGACCAAAAGTACTTACGTGCCCCAATGGTATGGTACCGTTCAGATGGCAGGCTGGGAAGGCTACTCCCCACGTCATTCACGGCGATCACTCGGAACTGGTAGTTGACATAGGGCGAGAGGCGCAAAACAGCCGAGTTCACGCTCCCTGGGTAACTGGAATGGTTGTGCCATGTCCCAGGCAGGAACTTGTCCTCTTCAAACTGAACAATATAATCTAGAGGGGGAGAGAGACAGGGGAGGTTAGATTAGTGGTGGAGTTCCCCTCAACTCATTGCATTTCCCACCCTGCAGGAAGAGAGTTGCTGTATCAAAGACAACAACAGTCTGATGAACTCAGCCTGGTCTGGTGGGGGGTTAGGGAGAGCGCACCAACCTGTGATTGGGCTGTTGTTGTCATCACCAGGTATCCACGTCAAGCGCACGCTCCTTTCGGCCAGGTCTGTCAGCTCCAGGTCGCGAGGCCGCTCTGGTCGTTCTGTTGACAAAGTGACAGCTCTTCTGACAATCCCAGACTCTCTGCATTGGGAGCCCAAACCCCACTGAAAGTCAATGGAAACTAAAGGCCTACTGTCTTGGGTGTCTTGTGGAGTCCCAGCCGAAATGAAGAGCAGCTGTGAGAAAGCCACTGATGGCTGTTTGGGGAGCTGCTGCATGTGACAGGAGTTGTTCCCACCCCCTTCTTAGAGGACAAGTGTATTTTCTTAATCTGAACAAACATGGCATCCTTGTGCTGCCCTTCAGTAGAATCCCTTGTGGGAAGGCAGGTGGCTTTTTCAGGGTAGGTGGGTGGAGCTAGCGGTACCCCACAATGAAGTGGATGCAGATTTTAAAAATATGATATTAAAATGTAAGAAAAGGTGTGTGCAAATAGAACAAAGGCAAAACACACTGGCTGCGTCTAGACTGGCAGCTTGAATTTCCACAAGAACACTGACTTCCTACTGTCTGAAATCAGTGCTTCTTGTGGAAATGCTATGCTGCTCCCGTTCGGGCTAAAGCCCTCTTGTGCAAATGCTTTTTGTGCGGTATTGTTTTGCGCAAAAAAGCCCCGATGGCGAAAATGGCGATCGGGGCTTTCTTGGGCAAAACCGCATCTAGATTGGCATGGACGCTTTTCCACAAAAAGTGCTTTTGCGGAAAAGTGTCTGTGCCAATCTAGACTCTCTTTTCTGCAAATGCTTTTAACGGAAAACTTTTCCGTTAAAAGCATTTGCGGAAAATCATGCCAGTCTAGACGTAACCACTGGGTTTTATACTATTGGGAAGATGGACTGACAAAAAGACAAGGAAACCAAACTACATTGGTTCTGGTAGACCAAAGTCACATCACGAGACTTGATACTGCTGGGGCACCTTCCTTTGAGAGAGAGAGAATCATTAAAGCAGAAAGGCCACGCAAGTAATTAACAATTTTCATGACCATTTTACTGAGGCAGTGACTTGGCCACAGTTGCAACAGATCAGTGGCAGAGCCACATTTCCTGCCACATCCACATTGCTAGTAGTGAGTGAAACTATCCATGTGCAATACCGTACTGTACCTTGACACCGAATCAAACAATTATTACAAACAAGCCTTCTGCTCATGGCTATTTGCGATGACGCTCAGAAACATACCATGCCAGGCTTTGGAGAATCAGGTTCTGGCTTTCCAGCCCCTCCAGACCTACATTTCCAGTTGCCGTTATTGCAAAAGGCCAAACAGACACACCAAAAAGCATACAAATAAAAGCAGGGTCGGAGTGAACCAAACTGAACGGATTAGTGGTGATTACCTTTGGGTAAGGCTGTCATACGATTAGTTGGAGTAGACTGGATAACTGCAAGGTAAGACAGTGGCTGTTAACAGAGTTAGTTTAGTGATTAAACTTGGCTCAAAGGGACATGGAGTAAAAAAAAATATTGCAGAGGCACCAGGATTTTCCTTCCAGTGTAGGACCCAGTGAGCATCAGTACTTCTAGCCTGCCCAGCTCGAGACCCCAGGGGCTCCTAGACCCTCTGTAATCCAGCTTGTGCTGTCTTCACACGGGAGAAGCAAACGAGTTAATTAGCTTACAGTCAATTATCTGTTAAAAAACAGAAGTCAAATGTAGCTGAGTGAGCAGGGATGCAGGATCCTTGTAACATGCTGAGTGTGGTAGGGCACCATGGGCCTGAGCCAGCAACATGTTCACCATCGATTTCAACAGTTTGAGGCTCTCCAGGAGGTTTCTCGCAGGTGAGGACTAAGAGTTCAAAGTTTGGGACTAGGTCTAATGGCCAAGTTCCAGTCTTTAAACCCTATTTCCCTTGTAGTTTAAATCCATTCCTCCTCCTGATTCATTACCTCTTCCAGTTGGAGCAAAGCCTGTAGGAATAGGCAGGAGCCGTCTGAGGCCGGCTGCGGCAACTGGTGCCCCAGGCGGAACGTGCGATCAGCGCCCCCGCCTGCAGGGCTGTCAATGGCCGTGATGTCATCATCGGGCGCCCCGGGCGGCGGTGCCCTAGGCGGCCTATAGCCATGGGCCGCCCCTGGGAATAGGGTGTTTCCTATCTCCCCCACTCTCTAACTAAGGGGCCAAATTTCCAAAGGACATGAATAGCCTGAATTGCCGTTGACTTCAGCTATAACTGGTGGTGCCTAGCTGTGTGAGGGGGGCAACCTATGCTAGTGAATGGGCCGCATCAGTGGCCTCCATCTCAGTGGGCCAGAAGAGTGTCATGATGGATCCCAAGATGTTCTCTTGGGATAGGGCAGTTTTGCTAACGGTGCTGGCATACCTAGAATTTGCAGGGGGTGCAATTTGACTGAACCGTAGCAGCACTTTGATTGGCTACAGAGGGAGCGCACGGCTCTCATGGGCAATGCTGGGTACAATTAGCACGTATCTCACGTTGCATGCCCCGGACGTGTCGCTATAGTAATATCGGTAGGGGAAAAAACTACATGGAGGGAAACCAGGTGAATCTGGCAACCCAGTGTACGGGCAACAGTAAATAAAATGTTTCATGGTCCGTAGGTAGAACCCCAACGGCCGCAGGTTGCCCAGCACTGGCCTTGCTTCTCTGAGTTTCAGATCTCCTGTTTGAACATTTTGGCTCTATAAAAATTTCTTGCCACTCCTGCTCCTTTCTACTTGGACTCTGGATTGGATTTTCACTGGCTTATTTCTCCTTATGGGTTCTCTCTCCACTCCTTTATTTTCAGTATTTGCTGAATGGGAAGGTTCATTGCAAATGCAAACTTCAGAGGACTCACACTCAATCACAATGTTAGAGGAGGTTTGAAATCAGGCAACATGCGTTCACCCAGCCCGATTAAGCGAGCAGTGTAGAAACTGTCTGTTTTCACTACGCTAATTTGCTTAAGAAGCTCACAGAAAACCACCCCCTGAGAGTACATTAGCCATGCTTGGCTGAGAACTTAACACTCAAAATCAGTCTACTAATAAACCAAAGCCTTTAGTTCCACTGCTTTGTTCTCTTTGAGAATCCAATCTTGGGGGTTAGCAGTAAACTCAAGTGGAAGAATGGTTACCTAGCACCTTGAGGTATGCTTTAGCGGAGTCCTTGTCCAGCTCAGTACTGGCCACGCATGTATAATCTCCTTGATCTTTTTCAGCCACACCATAGATGATCAGACCGTCGTCTTCCTTCTTCATCCTGGAAAGGGTACGATGGATAACAAAAACACAGAGCGGGGAATCAGAGTACTGGTGCTGAAGGATTTGATCCTAACCTGTGTGAAGAGTCCCACTGGATTCCATAGGACTATTTGCATGAGTAAGTCCAGCTGGGTTTGACTCATGTTTTAAATTCTTCAGGGCTGGGATCTACTTTTCGTTCCATTTATTGGCTTTGGTATGTTTCGGCAGATTATGCACCTGCCCGTCTAGCGAGGTAGTCATACCGAACTCAGTCCCATGGTATCAGAAGCGCTAAAGTGCCCAGGACCGCCAATGTGGGGGCAAGGCAGGGCAATAATTTTAAAGGTGCTGGGGTTCCCAGGTTACTACTGTGGCAGTGGCGATGGCCAAAGCCCCAGGCTGTGCGTTTCCAGCAATGCTGAAGAGCTAAACTGGGAAGGCTTGCCCCAGTCCTGCCCCACCCCTCCTGGGGGTGCAGAGATGGGCCCCTCCCACCGCGCCCAGCAGCCTGGCAAGTCTGTCTGCTGCTCCACTAGTGCTCTACAGCTAACTATACTAAGCAGAATAAGTAATCATAGCAGGGTATGAGATGGAATCAAATTCTTCTCTCTAACCAAGCAACAGTTTGAGTCCCCTGATTAAAAAAGCTCATTTCCTTTTCTTCAGATGGGAGACAGATAGGGAGAGGGGAGCTGCAATGGTACCAGCACAGTAGATCAAAGCAGACAAGTATTAACTCGGAAACAGTCTGCAGTTATTAAGCCAAGAGGTTTTAATGAGAGTCTTAAAAAAAAGGATTTCATTCTTTTTGACATACTCTCTATAAAATATGAGTCCTGAGAGGCAAGGCTTCTGTAACTGGCAAAGCAACTCCAAACTGCTGGTCAGTCTCCAATGGAAGGTGCGAACACTGCAGAATAGCAGCACCACACAATGTTGAAGTACAGCAGAGATGGGGAGCCTCCGGCCCACGGGCTGGATCTGGCTCCAGCACACGTCTTGCTCAGGCTCCTGGCTCTTCTGCAGCGGGGCAAGCTGGTGCTCCAGCCACGTGGGGGAGTGCCAAGGATCAGGCCCCTTCCTACATAGCTGGAGCACCAGCACTGGCTCCCTGCTGCTGGTAAGGTTGCCATGTGCCCTGTAAAAAACCTCACAAAACACTGGATATGTAAAATGTCCAGTATTCTCTGTTTTGCTCAGACAGAAGGCCACTTGGGACAATCTTCCCCTGCTGCTTTTTTTTTTTTTTTTTTTGCTCAACCAATTTTTTTCCTGCCATGTTCAGTATTTTTTGTGAAACTATCTGGCGACCCTAGCTGCTGGGGGATGGAGGAACTCCCAAGCCTGGCTGGCTGGATCAAGGCAAGTGGATGGTTGCATCCGGCCCAAAGGCTTTACCCAGCAGTGGGGAGGAAGTGGCTCTGTGAGCTGCTGTTTGCCCTCCCTCTGGGCTGGGGGCACGGCAGCGAAGGAAAGCTCTGTCCCTCCACCCCCATCGCACCCGCAGGCCAGGAATCACTGTCTATAGGAGCCATCTACGGCCTCCGGAGCTGGCCAGAAGGCACCAGTGATCTCTGTAAGTTATGCATTTGTGCGGCTGCTCAGAAGAGATTAAAATGCTTCCCGGCTGATTAGCAGAGCGGCCACAGCTAGGTTTCTGGTTTTTGCTGTGGAGCGCAGTCACACATGCCTCGGTGCACATAACAAAATGAATGGAAAAAGATTAGAGGGAACATTGGTAGGCACCTCAATCTCCTTCCCTCTTCCACACTTGCACCCTTAGTCCCTTCCTACACCTCTGCTCCTGCCCCGACTTTTCACACCTCCAGCCCCCTCCTGAACCTTGCCTCCCACATAGACTTCCGATCCCCAGCCTGCTCCTGCACCCTGCCACCTGCCCACACCCCACACTCTCAGCCTGCTCGCCAGCAGCCCCCTCCTACACACTGAATCCCTCATTTTGGGCCCCACCTCCGAGCCTGAGGGGGCACAAAAATCTACTAGCCCCAAGCTCCCAGCAGAGAGTTAATTCAGCTCTGGGAGGAAGCCCTGAGCCTTGGCACCCCCCCCCATGAGGCTGGAGTGTGAGGGGAACCATGGGGGGCCACGTCTGGGAGGTGTGCGCTTTTTTCTTTTGTTTCTCACTTGTGTGGCCCCTGACTCATTTTTCCATGGGCCAGTAGCCCCTGACCCAAAAAGATCCCCTACCCCTGAATGACAGTGACACTGGTTATTTTATGTGTATTATCCCCCCTCCCGGTTGAATGTGGGAAACGCTGTCTAGGCTGTGAAACCAGACGCACCGTGATCCACATTGGCACAAGCTCAAGAAAGACAGACCGAAGAGTAGCACTGCCTGGGGAGACAGAAATCTCACGTCACTACGGACCGAAGATCACGTGGCGGTGCACCTACCTGTTCCCAATGTACAGAGGAGTGTTATCTTTCAGCCAGCTGACTGTGAGCTTCAATGTAGAGTCATGTTTTATTTGGCAATCTAGCCGAGCCATGGAGCCCCGCTTTACAATCAGATCTTTTGGCCCGTTCACGATCCTAGTTGGGTCTGCAAAGAATCACAAGAAGTCACTTGTAGGCATAGAACTGTAGGGTCTCTATTTGGCACCCAAACCGAAGACGGCAAGTCGAGGCAAATGTGAATGTTGCTGCAAGCCATGCAGGTGAGCAACCTCGGTTGTCTCTGACACATACAAGTACTTGCTTATAAGCTGGGTAATTTAGTATCACTTCACCTGTCTTCCTCAGCAATGCTTCCCACCTTTAATGCACACTGAAATGATCTAATGCAGTATTTTTTAGTAAGGGCATTTCACTAGGAAAGCAAAGACCCAAGGCAAACTGTTTGCTTTGTTCAGCTGTTTTATTGCTGCTTGAACTGTGACCCTGCCAAAACAGCTCTGCATCTTTTATTTGTTGCCATCTACCTGGTACTTGGTCAGGTCTAGACTCATAGGGAACATCAAATGAAGCTATGCAATTCCAGCTACATTAATTACGTAGCTGGTGTCTACATACTTTGTTTCACATCTCCCTGTTGTCCCCACAGCTGGAGGAAAAGCTCCTGTTGGCTTCCTTTACTCCTCACACAAGCAGGAGTCCTGGCAGTCAATGGGGGCACCGTCTGAGTTTAATTTAGTGAGTCTTAACTAGACTCACTATATCAAACTCCAGAAGATTGATCACAGCAGTTCCAATTTTCTGTTTAGTGTAGACATACTCCATACTCCAGATAGCTCACCGTGTTTAAAACATACAATCAAGTTTTCAAACAGTCATTCAGATCTTCAGGTATCTAACCACATCCTTTTGTGATATTAAACTACAAAAACAAAGTTAAATTGTACTCCAGCTCCTAAGATTGACAATCCCATTGCCAGTCTGTTTGTCTCTCTGACAATGGGCTGTGAAAGTATGTAACAAAACAAAATGTTAAAGGAAAAATATATCCTTCATGGAGCCAGGCACCCAACTGCTATGGATTTCTTTTAAGCTTCTTTGAAAATTGGTCTTTTAAAGCATTTACTGGAGACTAAATTTACATGGCTCCCAGTTCTGCTTTTATGTCTTCACTGTACTCAGTGAGGAATGCCTGGCTTTAAGGTAAGGCAGTTGTTCTAATATAGTTTAACAGAAAAGTAATTTTTTTTTTAGTAAGAAACACTGTCATGGGGCTTTATGGAAACATGCGTATGAATATCAATATGCAACGTTGCAAAATGCTTTGTCTAAGGTATCATTTGAAAAGTTGCCATCTACTGAATAGGATTTTCCCATTTGTGTGCATGTACCATTCCTGTATTTGACATTTGAAATACGAAGTACAAGCCTGTTTTACTAATATAGACATGCTAAGTCAGGGCCATTAAGGGAATTTCAGGAACCAGATGGCTCATTATTGATAGGATCAATGATCCGTAAATGGGTTTGTTTTTCCTGTGGAACAGTCCATAGGAGGAGATTCCCCACAAGAACATGGGTTTAGATCACCTGATATGGGTGTCCATCACCAGTTTAGCATTTTTCCACACAGAGGGAGGCTTGCCAAAAAAGGCTTCCCACTTCTGCACAGCCTTTAAAAGTGAGAAACCAAAGGACAGGGGGGGGGTGGCTGACAGACAACACTTCTGCTTACCACCCAACATGATGGCTGGAAACATCTAAGACTGAAGGATCAAAGGAGAGGCTGTCCAGTCTGGGAACTACTGTGAGGGTATGGTATTGCATGTAACAAGGTTCTTAGGCTACATCTAGACTGCAGGCTTCTTTCGGAAGAAGCTTTTCCCGAAGAGATCTTCCGGAAAAGCTTATTTAGAAAGAAAGCATCTACACAGCAAAAGTGTAACGAAAAAGCCATCTGCTTTTTCGAAAGAGAGCGTCCACATTTATTGGATGCTATCTCGCATTTCAGTTGGGATCAGTCTGGACAGAGTGGCCACCAGGGCACCTGTGCTTTTTCCTGAAGGCCTCTTCTTTTAAAAGAACTCCCTCTTCTGCATCCACACATGTCTTTTTCCAAAAAAGCTTTTTCAGAAAAAGGCTTCTTCCTCATAGAACAAGGTTTACCACCGTTGGAAAACCGGAGGGGTTTCTGTCGAAAGAACTCAATGGTAGTGTGGATGCAAGTATTGTTTTTCTAGAAAAACGCTGCAGTATAGATGGGTGTATTAAGCTTAGTCTATGAAGCTGGTGTGTTTTGTTTTGTTTTTTGCTTAGTAACTTATTTTGTTCTGTGTGCTATTACTTATAGCCACTTCAATTCTACTTCTTATATTTAATAAAATCACTTTTGTTTATTAATAAACCCAGTGTAAGTAATTGTTACCGGGGGGGGGGGGGGGGGGGGGGGGAAAGGGCAGACAATATGAACTTACTCTACGTGAAACTTTTATACAGAGTAAGACGGATTTATCTGGGGTTCAGGTCCCACTGGGGATGTATGCCTGGGTGCTGAGGCAAGACCCTTTAGCGGAGCCTCCCCAGCGCTGAGCTGATCTCAGTGTCTGCATTACGCTGCATAAGGCTGGGACCCCATCTCTGTGTCAGTGCTGGATGAGGCTCAGCCAGACAGAGTAAAGGGGTTGCCTGAGAGAGCAGGACAATTCAGTGGTATGTCAGCACATCAAGTGACTGTCACAAGGGGAGTGCTGTCACCGAACTCATGACGCGCACACACATCCGTGAAGAAAAGACCGAGTGAGGTATCGTTAAGCCAGTGTTCAGCGTGGTGAAAAGAAAAGGCTGAGATTACTTTTTCTCTGTTACAATGCGGGTAGCTCTTGACATGTAATGTCTATATAGCAGCACTGCAGGGAGCAAGAAGTGTTTTACACCAGTGGTTCTCAACCTTTTTTTTTATAAAGTGCCCCTTTACAAAAAATTATAAGTACCCCCAGTACCTATACTTTTCAAACACACACAATTTTTTTCTACCATTGCAACACATTTGTTTAAACAACTTAATCGTAGCCGGGTAGGTGGTGAAATTTTTGGATGTAAAAAGTATAAAAATAATAAAGCGCTGTAAAACTTAAAGCAAAAATTTCTCCAAATTTCAGTTGTGTTGACATACCCCCCAGACTTCTCTCGAGTACCCTGAAGGGTACTTGTACCACTGGCTGAGAAACTCTGTTTTACATTCTCCATTACCACATCTCTGTCTTTGCATTTCCCCAAACTGACCACAAAACTAAATGTAGCCCAAATTGTCTAGTTGCCCAGCACAGGTGTGGAACTGCACTGCTGGCCACAGCTTGCTGGTTCCAGCACAACCTGATCTGAAAAGACGTGTGTGGACAGTCGTCCTTTAAAAGCAGGATCCACAATGGCCATTAACTCTCCAGATGCAAATACTAGTATGTCTGAATGCAACATGCTAGGATCTTGAACCCCGCTGTCCTTTAGCCAGACGGCTTTTATTTCAAAGAATATCGGACTGCCTACGGAAACATGGAATGGAGATCTAGACGCCACTGACTTCACAGTGGCCCGGCATTTTTAAGAGAGGCCTGTCCCCGGCCGATCGCTTTGTGATGATGCACAATGACTTGTCCCACATAGCACTGGGTTTAGCCAGCTAACTACCTAAAATTATAGGTGTCAGCTAATGCACATGCAACATGGCGGCTGTTTGTGGGCAGGCGGCTCTGTTTTCGCAATGCTTTCACCGCCCCGTGGCTTACCTTTGATCTCCAAACGAACCTGGTTCTCTGCTTTACCCAGAATGTTGGTGGCCACGCAGGTATAGATTCCCTGGTCCTCCTTGCGAGCCATGTTCATTTCCAAGCTCCCATTTTCATGCCACTTGTAGTTTTCTCCATCCAGGGCACTTCCCTGGCCATTCTTAAACCTCACAACGAGACAAGAAATGACGGTCAGAGGAGGCGGCAGCAGGAAACGGCGCATTCCGCAGCCCACGACGATCAGCCGCTCTGAGCACCGGGGTCCTTACCAGCGCAAGGTGGGGATCGGCGAGCCAAAGAACGGGCAGTCCAGGCGAGTCCTGTTGTACTGAATCACTTTGATCAGCTGGTTCCGGGGGGCAAGAATCCGGGGAGGCACATCTTAAACAGCAAAGACCATTGTGTGGTTTTAAAATCCCGGGGGCTGGAACCTCACATGCCTCATCCCTCTTTTTTTGGTACCACATGTTCAAGCTCCTTCTTCCAGGCTTTGCAAAGTTCCACATTTCCTCCTATTCTGCACCCCAATACCCCCGTCACTTTTACCCTCCAACTGCTCTGTCTGCCCCTAGCTACCTTCTATTTCTGGCCTTCTTGCCAACAGCAATCCTGATGCTTGGAAGAGCTCCTCACTCAGTGTCCAACACCCTCCCTCTTCTTCAAAACTACCGTGTCCTGAAACCTGCCTCACGGATGACACAGCTGCTTGGCTTTGCACTGCTGTGCTGGGTATCCTTTGTAACAGAGGGCCTGAAAGACTGCATGAGGTTTCGGTGCCAGGGGAGATGGGGTTGGGAGTGTGACTATCTGTATGGACAGCCCCTCTGAATATTTACAACCAATAGGAAAGCAATCACGTGATTTTTCAGGAAGGGCCAAGTAACAACCAACTTTAACCCATTACAGTTGTGATCTATCATGACTTAAATTAGCCAGAGATGTGGGGAACATCATTCCATGGTATATGATGATTTCACCCATTAATTCAAAGACTATGGTTTTCTTATTACTATCTCTGGGCTGGGCAGTTAGGACCTTCCCAAGCCACTGCCGTAACTCAGAGATCAGCAGACCAGGTATAGCAAAAGGATAGTTACCCAGAACACTGACGAAGGCATTCGCCAGAAGGTAGCCATGTTCATTGGACGCGTTACATTGGTACACAGCACTGCTGCCAATTTGGGTATCCCGAAATACAACGGTGTCTCCGGTCACTTCCCGACTTGGGTTGGGAGAAGCAGCTTCAGAACAAACAGAGAGAGGTTGTTGGTTTGCTATTATACTCTATAAGGATGAAAAACATCAAATACCGTTCACCTCCCCACAATACATCAACCCCCTTGCCCCTCATCTGCTAGGTGCCCAGTCATCCCTCCTGAATGTAATCCCCAGAGAAAGCAGGGATGGAGTACAGCTTGTCAGAGTGCCATCCTGGGAATCTGTGCAGCCCTCTGTTTAGCTACAGACCAAGGTAAGTAAGGGCTACACAGAAATCTTGTGTGGCATGCTGCCTGTCACTCATATTCAGACACTGGCCCCTAAGTCGCAGACTCTAACCTCAGCACAAATCAGGAGGGGGGGGGGGGGCATGCCTGGAAAATGTGGAGTTCATCATTGAGAAGGATGTAGGGAGCCAATTTCAATCTGACCCTCTCTGCCATTCACTCTAAAGTGAGTGACTTGACTGCTGGTCACTGGAGCAGTGTTTCTTTTTTAAAACAAACATCAAAAACATTAGCTGCCTTGAGCAGTGATCACAACTATTAAAGGTGAAATACATGGGTAATGGTTTATGGGCTATGGCCAAGACCTTATTTAGCTGACAGATTTAGCAGTTCCCTGTTAAAGAAGAAAGATCTCTCTTTCTCCCTGTCTCTCTCTCTCGGTCTCATCTGAAGTGGCCAAAAGAGTTTAGTGGCATTAGTTCCAGGGCCATTTTCAGTGTCTTTTTTAGAAGGATCTTGTTGAAATGTGATTGCTCCTGAACTGATCTCCATGCCTCCAAAGCCAATGAGCATTACAGAAGGGTTCTGATACAGAAGCAAATGTTACAGTGAGCGAGGCATTGATAAGATTCCTCCATGATTCCAGGACAAATACATTTAGTGAGAGAAATTTTTAAAAACCCACCACTGATTTAGGGATGAAATCTAAAATAGCGAGCGCTAGATATTATGTAACACACATGACTATCCAGTCCTTTAGTTGCCTGGACTCTGTCACACCTATGCACGCATTTAATATTAGCACCTGACTGATCCCGAACCAGGGAATTTGCCAGAGGAGGTTACTTGCAGCTTCTCTGCTATGGGTCTCTGCTCAGGTGGCAGCAGAGGGACCAGCAATGATGGAGTGGGGATGGGTGGGCTTTCATCCCCATGGGCAATGTTTCCTGTAAGCTGAGCCCTTGAGCAGCCACCCAGGAGAGATTCAAATGCCACCCAGCAGAGTGCACACAATACCCACATGAGCTTCATTTGGTGGTGCACAGCCGCACATGCCTCGGTGCACACAACCAAATTTATTCTGCACATGGATGGAAAATTTAAAGGGAACATTGCCTGCAGGCCCTCTGACTGCAGGGCTCCACTCCCAGCCCACCTCTTACCCCATATAGCCCCTGACTCTGTTCCTCCCTCTGCCTTCCTGAGCTTGAATGCTGCAAATTAGCTATGAGTGGTGCCCCAGAAGCTCTCAAAGGGTGGGGAGGAGTTGCTGAGTACAGGGCTCCTGACTTTTCCCCATAAGTGCTCCAGGCCTGGAGCATCCATGGATGCTGAAACACGGATGTTGCCGGAAAAAGGGAAGTCTGGATTATAGAGGTTCATTCAAAAAAAAACCCATCCTTTTTAATTTTAAAGTAACCTTTGGTGTCCCAATGGTAACACTGTCATAAATCTATCTTTTGCTCATAGAAAACATACTGGAAGATGCCATAAGGAAGACATTTGTGCTTGGGACATCTTCAACAACTCCTGTTTTGAAAACAACCTTGACACGACTCATGCTTAGTACTTTTCCACCCTGAAGAAGAAGCACTCTCTCATTTTGCTGCATGCTCCCATAATAAATAAAACACATTCCCTACTAGGCAGCCCCAAACCATCAGCGTGCTTACATTCTATAGGCTCTCCATTCACTAGCCACTGGACTGTAGGCTTCGGGTTCCCGTTGGCTCGACACACAAGTCTACCATCCTCACCGGGGGCCAAGATAAGGTTTTGTGGTTCATCCAACCAGTAAGGGGCCGCTTTAAAGACAGGAAAACATACACAGATGAGTTATACATGTATTGCGGTTAACTCCTCTGAATTCCTCCCCATTCATTACCTGCTGAGATGGACCCCATAGAAGATGCTACATGTGTGGAATGGGCCCTCTGGAGCCCTGCAAATCGGCAGCTAGCTGGGACTCATTTTTGCAGATTCAGATGCAGATACAAATCTGCTCAGGGCTCTAGGGCCCTTCTCCAGTGCGGAAGTGCTTTAGATGCAAGTCAAGTTTTGTATTTTAGCAGCTAGAAAAGAGATGCACATTGGCCATGCTGAGAAATGAGAGCACAGGACTCTGCAGCAGACCCTTGCATAACATTCCTAGAACCGGGGCAGGGAGAGAGAGAAGATTTGAACAACCTCCTGAAAACACTCCTTGCTGGGTTTTGTACAGTTCTGTTCCATTAGAAATGGCTCAGATCGAATCTCAAGGTTCAAAACACTTGCTGCCTTTCCCTTTACCCCAGTAACTCAGCTTTGGCAAAGCTCAGATCCGTATCCAACACTTTCAGCTTGGGTCCACTTCTTAGATAAGCAACTCCCCATCTCACTCCATTGTACTGTGCAGGACCTTTGAGAGTCTGTTTTCTATTTAGAATAATCTTCCTTCCAAGGAAGCAAACAAGCACATACCACGGAACTCAAACTGAATAGTTATAGTGGTAGAAATGTAGCCGTGTTAGTCTGGTGCAGCTGAAACAAAAAACCAGACCGTGTAGCACTTTAAAGACTAACAAGATGGTTTAATAGGTGATGAGCTTTCGTGGGCCAGACCCACTTCCTCCACTATTTGATCTGAGGAAGTGGGTCTGGCCCACGAAAGCTCATCACCTATTCTATATAACAACTAGACCTATTCAGAAGCTTCAGGGGGTAGCCAAGTTAGTCTGTAAGTTATAAACTGAAAAAACAAGAAATGGTCTGGTAGCACTTTAAAGACTAACAAAACATGTAGATGGCATCATGAGCTTTCGTGGGCACAGCCCACTTTTTCAGTTTCATCTGAAAAAGTGGGCTGTGCCCACGAAAGCTCATGATGCCATCTACATGTTTTGTTAGTCTTTAAAGTGCTACCAGACCATTTCTTGTTTTTTCAGTTTATCCTGTACAGACTAACTTGGCTACCCCCTGAAGCTTCTGAATAGGTCTAGTTGTTATATAGAATGGGATTTCCTAGAAAGACCTGCAGAAAAACTCCCACTCAGTGGTCTCTCATGCGCTATAATGAGGGGGCAAGGCCTTCTTTAGAGATTGACGGGGAGGGATGGCCACCTACTCCCCAGTGGGTGGAGCCTGGAAGCAGAGGGGCGGGACAGGAAGTATAAAAGATGGGGCTGGAACTGCTGAAGGAGACAGATGCCTCCTGCTGGAGCCCAAAGAGGATCCCTGGAGTGCAGAGGACTTGCTAGAGCTGCTGGCTGACCAGAATGCTGAGGAGCTCCTCGGACTGCTATGGCCTCATCAACTCCAGAGAGATGGAGGACACCCACAGAGCTGAGGTATCGAGCAAAGGGATTGTTGGAAGTAGCCAAGGAGAGTAGACTACAGCCTGGTTGGGCTGTTGCCTGAATCCAGGTCAGCATGTTTTGGGTAGTTCTCCACTGACTCTGGGGTGGAACACTCTGCCATCGTTAGGGCCCTGGGCTGGGACTCAGAGTAGGGTGTGCCCGGATCCCCCTACCTTTGCTGTCAACCAGAACCATTGGGTGGCAGCCTCCCCTCCTTAGGCCTAAAAGTCTGCGTTTGTGTGCCAGAGCAAGGAGTCCCTAGACTGTTTGGGGTTCTGCCCTACCTGCAGCCACACCCCCGGACTGCCCATCAAGATAGGGCCTCAGCGACTGCTAATTCTCTAAAATCTTAGGCTAGAGAGGGACCTGAGATCAAGGGGTCATGGCCTCCTTCTGAAACTGATAAGGAGGGGTGGCCATGAACTCCTACATGAGTAAAAAAATTGCAAATACCCGATTTCCCCCACTATGTGATGTAAATTAATGTAGCTCTATTTAAAACAAAATCTGAGCTATGCTGATTTACATCAGCTAAGGACTTGCTTCAGGGGATCAGGCTGGTCAAGATGTAAATACGTGCGGGTATGGGAAAACATCCAAGTTAGTTCTGCAAATCACAGACCTTTGTGTTAGAAAAGGTCTAAGCAAACAAAAAGAACTTTCTCTTGCCTCCCCGTTCCACTGGAATACTGGTAAGGTAATTAGAATGGTGAGATAAAGACGACGTACCCTTCACTCTCACCGAGATAGTGTGGCGGATGCTTCCCATTTTGTTGGATGCTAGGCAGAAGTATTCCCCCGAGTCTTCCTCGGAGACGTTGACGATGCGAAGGGCCTTGTTAAAATTTTCCAACTTGGTTTTGTCTGTTGGGAGCTCTCCTCCTTTCTTGTACCACATGATGTCTGGTGCAGGTCTAAAGGGAGGACAGATTAGGGGTCATATTTCAGAGGAAGGTTCTTCCAAAAGAAGACATATACTGTACATAAAACAGACTACTCCACACTCAGAACCAATTAAAACAGTCCCCTTAGATTTCATTCTCCTAATAGTTTCACAGATGACTCACCCTCCTTCCCCCGTCAGACAACGACTGACTTACCCCACGGTCTTGATCAATGTTCTTAAGCTTCACCAACACCACCAGGAGTTAGATGAAATGGGTTTTACCCATGAAAGCTAATGATACAATGTATTTGTTAGTCTCTAATTTAGGGTACGTCTACACTGCACTCTTATTTCCAGAACAGTTATTCTGAAATATCTTATTTTGACATAGCACGTCTACACTGCAGAGGAGCCTCAAAATTAGTCCAGAGCAGGCTGCCCTACGGTGGATGTGCCATTTCAATTTAGAGACCCAGTAGCCACTGGGGAGGAATAGCTAGGAATGGCCCTAGTGAAGGGCTATTTCAAAATAGCAGCAGTGGAGCGTCCACACAGGCCTTACTTCGAAATAGCTATTTTGGAATAAGCGTTATTCCTCGCAGAATGAGGTTTAGCGATTTCAGAATAAGCCGTCTGTTATTTCGAAATTATTTCAAAATCATTGTTATTTCACAATAACGCTAGTAATCTCGAAATAACGGTGCAGTGTAGATGCACCCTAAGGGGCCACAGAACTGCTCATTGTTTTAAAAGATTAACAGAGCGACCCCTCTGAGACTTTTTACCACTAGGCATGACTTTCTGAGCAGCATCCATGAGTCAATCACTTCTGCATAGGTTTAGCTGGTACACACTCCTATGGCCAAAGTTGGCCAGTTGGGAGCTCAGAAGAACTCCGCGGGGAATGTTTCCTTATCATATTTAGTAGGACACTGTATCATGTTTCACTACTTCCCCAGAGAGGACAAACAAAAGGAAACGGATCCAACCCAGAAAACATAGTGGCGGTTTCCATCTAAGATTTATGTCATCAGTTTCCACTGCTTGCGATTCATCTTTCTGTCTGCTGCCCAGAGTACATTTGCTGTTACCTGTCCTTCCGATGGGGAGGAAGACGCTATAGATTGGATCATACCTCAGTGAAGTTAATAGCAAAACTCCCAACGATTTCAAAGGTGCAGTGTCAAGGCCTGTACAATTTGCATTCTACTCAGAACAGATCAGAAAAGGAGCTGCTAGAAAACATTTCCCCACGGCCGTAAGTGGTACGTACACTCCTGAAGCAATGCATTCGAGTAAGAGGTCCACCCCTCTCAGCACTATCTGGCTGCTTGAGGTCCCGTAGGGATACATGAAGCTGGGAGTTGATTCCATAATCCCTCGGGCTGAAATCATTAGAAAAGAAAAAAAAAAAAAAACAATTTTAAAATTCTTCTCCATGTCATTTCTACCAGCAACACACATAGCTGCCTGAGTTGACAACAGGAGCAAAGAACCTATCTGTAGCATTGTGAACACACACACAGTACTTTTACTAAGAGAGGAAGATGTATTCTGGATGAGCCAGTCTCAGACCAGAAAGATACAAGGTGGAGAACTCTGGTGCACCAAGGAGGATGAAGGAGGTTTTAAAGACGAGATCTGAAAAGAAGGGCATTTGATAGGCGGGAAATGGGAGAAGGCGCAAAGCTGAGAGCAGGGAGAAGACCTAGAAAGATAGTCAGGAGAAAGGAAATGCTGGGGGGAGAGGAGAGCAACCAATTGTGGAAGGAAGATGAGCACAAGGAATTTGAACGTGATGCAGAACCAAATGATAATGTTATGGTATAACTGTGTCCTTTGCACCTGCCTATACATTAACTTGCCCCAGCTATATAACTGCTTTTGAGAGGTGAGTAAGCCACCTTCAGTTATCGTGGCAAAAGGCAAATGAGAAGAGTGCATGTCTGATTGGTTGGTTGGTTTTCACAACCATCTTGAAGAACTATCGTCTCAATAAAGCTGTTTCTACCTGGTCTCACGTGGATACACCAATGTACCCCATTAAGCTGAACAATCCCTTTCTGTGTCCCATAATAAAACCATAAAACTTCCCTTCAGAAAGATCAGCATCCTGGGACCTAATAATTAGGGTACAAGGTTTGCCAAGACACTGAAGTCAGAAGGAATTGCAACCAATTAAGTGCTTTGTCTCAAAGCGGACAGGGGAAAATCATGTGATAAATTTTAAACAAACATTGGTTATGAAATACAATCCATGCCAAACCAATTAAAGGCCAGATTTGGCATCCAGGTCTTGACCAGACAAAGCACTTAAGGAAATATGTAACTTTAGCACCATTGTATGCTTACATGCTTGAGTGCATAGCTGGATTTATACATCTCAAGCCACATCTATACGTAAATGCTGGAGATTTTGATCTATACTTAAACACCGGTGATTAGCATTTGATTTAGCGGGTCTAGTTAAGACCTGCTAAATCAAACATTGAGGATGCCTCTGGTCAGAGCCAGTACTCCTTGCAGTCACAAGGAGTAAGAGAAACCGATGGGAGCGTTTGCTCTCATCGGCCTCCCACTGTGAAGACAACACAAAGCTTGGCTTAAAGTATGTCAACTCCAGCTACATTATTTGCATAGCTGGAGGTGCGTATCTTAAGCTGACCTTCTGGATGCAATGTAGACCTGGCATCAGTTATCCCAGTGCAATCCTACTGTGGTCAATGGGCTGCATATGTATAAATTAGGACAAAATTTGGCCCTCAATTTCCTTCTGTGACATAGTTAACAAAGGAAACTGTTGCTGAAGGAAATTCAGTGGAGAGAATATACAATATCCCATCTCTAGTTGGGCATCTGTCATAGTTCTATGTGCTGTCTCCATGTGGAAATCAGAGATGGGAAACTTACATGGAATTATCTGAAAAGGCACAAACAAAAGTGCAGTTCTGAAACAAGATTAACAATTAGGATTGGTTTGGGAAGAGAGATTCAGTTGTATTCCACTAGTGTGTGAGCTGGGTCTAATACTTCAGTAAAACCCAGCTCCTACCATCCTTATCAAGTCAAGAGGCTGCTCCTTGGGAGATTTGCTGCACAAGCACTGTATGATTTGACCAAGTTTTCAATGGGACATAGATGAAGTGTGTGTGTGTGTACACGTGCACACACACACCCCTCAACTCGGTAGATGGAGTGGAACTCACAATTTGATGGATGGAATTAAAACAGTGTTGGATGAGTGTGGGTAATGCTTTTTGACAGGGGGCCACTCCTAAAATTTTAACTGGTCAAGAGCTATACTTTTCTGTGATATTCATGGAGGGGGTGCAGGGTCTGGGACAGATGCTGGCTACAGGATGGAGCTTTGGATAGGAGACTGGGGTGCAGGATGGGGTGTGAGGTCTGGGAGGGGGTTGGGTGTAGGAGAGGATTTTGGTCTGGGAAGGAGTGGTGGAGGGGGTGCAAGGTCTGGGAGGGAGTTGTGATGAGGGACAGTAGTGCAGAGGTTTTGGGTTGTGACCTGGGGCAGGGAGTTACTGTGTGGGAGGGGTGGGATGCCAAGTACAGGCTCTGGCTGGGAATCACTTATACTAGGCGGTTCCTGGCCAGCAGCCCAGCAGGGCACTCAGGCAGGCTACCTGCCTGCCAAGCCCTCACATGCTGGTGCCAACCATGTGCATCTCCACAACATATCCCTTTTGGGGAGGGAGGCAGCATGTCTCCATGTGCTGCATGTGCCCGCAAGTACTGCCCTTGCAGCTCCCATTCGCTGGCTTCTGGCCAATGGGAGCTGCGAGGATTGTGCCGGGGGCAGGAGCAGCGGGGGAAGACCCTCCCAAGGGCGCACCATGCAGATGCACATGCTGGTCCCCAGCAGCCAGCTGCTTTGAGTGGCATGTGGGGGCAGGGAGCCTGCCCGAGGGTCCCGCTGGGCCTCAGGACATTGATGTAGGATCTTGTAAGGAAAAACCAGCTGAAATCAAACAAGGTTTTAAAATAACAAAAAAAGAACCAAAGTGTGACAAGTCGGACACCGTAATCCCATCCACACATGGAAGCATTTACTTAGGGGGCAGGCAGTAAGTACCACACACATATAACAGGATGTGCGTATTGAAGATAAGCCAAAGTGACAGCATTGACTAGCCCTGCAATAATGGTGAGAGGATTATTCTGCTCTATTTGGTAACTTTTAGTCCTAAAAAATGGGCATCTTGCTTTAAAAAACAAAAAGAAACTGGAGAGCCCAGAGGACAGTGACAAAAACCACAAGTCATCAGACAAGTTAACCGAAGAGGAAAGCTTAAGAGAACTAGGGAAATGATGGAGAGAAGGCAACTAAGAAGAGACATGCCCACTGTCTGCAGGCAGAAAATGCCTCTGTGAAGCTGACTGTAGTTTAGGGATGTAAAATCCTGTGTAATTGGTTAAATGTGATCTTTACTTCAGGTTTAACCAGTTAGCCTATTAAGGGGGGCTCCTTCCCCTCTGTTGCGCCAGGCCAGAGTGGCTGTGGGCAATCTGCAGGTCGGGCCTGCAGCAGACTCGTGGGCCCCATGGGGCTGGAGCAGTCCCCTGCCCGATGGGGAGCTGCTCCAGTCCCCACTGGTTAACCAGTACCAGTAAGCATCGCCCGTTAAGGGTGATGCTTACTAGTTAACCGGTTAAAGATTCACATCCCTACTGTTGTCACTTCATCACAACCATGGGGCCTAAGATGCAGTGGGCTTAGAATAGCAGCAGTGCAATTGGAGTGATACTTTCGGAAGTGGAACAAATGGGCCAAGGATAGGTGATAGGAGATAGTCAAGGCGAAAGGAGGTGTTGATTTGGGAAAGGATAAGGAGCCGAACTGTGCCATGATGGATGAGGGGGAGTGGAAGTACCTGGCCCCCTCTGACCCAAAAGATTCTTTAGCTCAGTTACCAGCTCCCATCAGAAAAACAGCTCAAGTCACTTTTGCCCAGTGTGTGTGTATGCGTGCATGCGTGTGTGAGAGAAAGCGAGAAGGGCGGACTTTGCGGCACCCGTAGGATCGCATATATCCAAGCAGCATCCTGCCCGACAGCCTCACAACCATTTTTGTTTATGGAGAGGGGCTGAGATGGGAAGAGAAAACAGTTTGTGGTGTTCACTCCATTGAAACATCTGGATCCAGCCCCGCAAAAGAAAAACTGCCTGCAGCCCAAACCACAGCTTTCCACTTGGCTCTGTCTGCCACACCACAGCTGCACTCACACATCACAGGGTTTTCAAAATACAAAATGATTAGTGGCCAACAAGTGCTGGTGAAAGTGTTAGTTAATTATTTGATTAATGGATTACCACTGTGTAGGAGTCTTGACCTTACCTCGACGATACAGTACATTTGCAAGTGCAGTAGATACACATATTTAACTCCTTTCCTACCTTTTAATAAGCTCTCTCTCCTAAGTAAGACAAATCTACTGTAGCAACCCAACACTACTGTATGGAGGCTAGGCTACAAGCATAGTGACTGGTGTTACGAAGGCAGTTCCTGCCTACAGCTATCATATCTTGATAACAGCAATTCTGCATGTATTTCCTATTTCCCTAGGCAAATATCATTTAAATGACAATCATGGTCTGAACAGGTTGCACATCTCACTACAACAATAATCTTGTTTTTCAAGAGCCCGGGAAGGGACCAGCCAGGGATAAGAATCAATGCAAGCAATTTTACCAGACAAATATTAATGATGACAATTAAAAATAAAGGAAGGGAAATTAGTATCCTGTCCCAGTTGTTTTTAAGCACCCTACAAACACACTGGGGTAGCTCAGAATACATTCTTAGTACATGCTACTGATAAATATTTGCCATTTGTCATTAGGGTGCAGCAGAAATCATTCCAAGCAGACACAAAATTCCAATTCCAGATGTGTGACATTTATAGATAGAAAGTGTCAAGCTGCTGGAAAAGTCTGTCCAGTTGGCTGGAATATGGATATAAATAAATTGGAAGTGGATTTTTATTCCTGCTTCATTTAGCTGACGTCCCTGATAGCCACACCATTATTCATCAAAGTAAAAAAAAAACTTTATGCAGGTGTGATCAGGGTAGTTTAAAACACCCACTTAACTGCAGTGTCTACAGTCCAGATTTTAAAATTGTGAAACAGCTTGCAAAACATTTAATTTCTACTAAGAAACTCAAAAGGATCTATTTACTTTCTGTACAATGAGTGAGCCACCTTCTAGAGCTAGTAAATCTTTCCAGCTAGTAAAATGTTACTAATAATGATTCTGAACTCTTACATAGCACTTCTTAGCCGTAGATCCCAAGGATGGTCAATATCATCACTGGAGATATTTAAGAGTGGATTGGTCCTGCCATAAGGGCAGGGGACTGGACTTGATGACCTCTCAAGGTCCCTTTCTGTTCTAGTATTCTGATTCTATGATCATCATTCCCCTTTACTGGAAGGGGAACCAGAGTTCAGGCACATCTGACCCAGGGCAAAAAACCCTCAGGAGAGTTCGAGTCTGTGATTCTAATCATAGGATGGTTCCAATGAGCTGTTCTGTAGTTTGGTATTCAAAGCAGACAGAACATAAATGTTTTAGGTTGAATGCAAACTGTAACCGGCATCCCTCTTCCATTAGCTGGGTTGCAGGTGGGTGTGATCTAAGAGAGATGCAGGGAAAGGAAACAGAAGCAAGATGTTGCTGCATCAGGGCTCTTGCTAACTTTTTAGGACATCCCTGATATTGCAGTTATATAGGAATGAGGCTTTTCATAGAGGCCTATAATGCCAATCTCCAAATATCAGGATGAAAATACCCCTGTACTCCCCTGCTGCTTCCTACAATGACAGGTCAGCTCCTGTGATTGTTCAGCGTCTGCCTGCCATCTCAGGACCTGCATGCAAAGTAGCAGAGAGAGATATCTGGCTCCTTGGAGAGCTGCTCTGTTAACCGCTCCTGTCTTTGCAATGCTGAAGAGATGAGAGGGCGGAAGCAGCCTCCAGCGACTTTGCACAGCAAGTTTGCTCTGCAATCTCCACCCCAACACACTGCCCGAGTGGAAAGTTCTTCACAAGCCTCCTCTGACACTGGGCTGCAGAGAAGGGGGCCAAGGAATTTAGAACTTGGAGGCATCTCCGCGAGGGGTCAGATGAGCACTCAGAAGATGCTAGAACAGGGTGTCCCAAAGTGAGCCCCATGGAGCCCTGGGGCTCCACACAATGGATCCAGGAGCTCTGAGAAAATATGAATGACATGTGTATGACCCTGTTGTTTTGTTACTCATTTTCTGATCGTTTTCTTGGGGGAAAAAACCCACCCAGAATTGATAAGAAATAAATTCTATTTATTTGGGTACCTACTGAATTAAAATTCATGATATTTTATGGGCTTCGCCAAATTTTCAGGACCCCATAGAGGCTGAAAAATTCTGGGAACACCTATGCTAGAGCATCCTTTCCCCCCTTGCGTCACAGGTCTAGAGCCCGTAAATCCACAGATATCCGCTTTTTATCTGCGGACCATGTTTGCGGATTGGATGCGGATACACATGCCCTGTTCACTGGACTGATACGTGTGTCTGAGGAATAGATGCTATAAAACTTTTCTCCATAGGATGACTTGGAACACAGAGATGATATGGACAAATAATCCAAGCTGAATTCCTAATTAGATTTTTGCTAATTTAGCATCCTTTCCTCAAATTGATTTGTTAGAAATTATCAGAAATTTTTGAATAAGAACAACTCTTGGTCTGTATTTCACTTGTTAGAGGCAAGGGCCTGGCATGGAAAGTCTGAGCTGTTGGACTGGGCACACAAGCTCACCCCGTGTGCTTCTTTATCGGCGGCTAGAGGAGCCCAACTCTTAGGGCCTATCTACACTTGGAGCTGGAGATATAATGTCCAGTTTGGGTACTAGTGTGCCAGGAATAGCAGCATAGAAGCAATGGTTTGGGCAGGAGAATGGGCTCGTTGCTACCCTTGGCAGGAATATACTCAGGACAGACTGTCCTGCCACTGTAAATTCGAACTAACAGACAGATACTACCTGAGTGGGAAATTACAATCCCCAAGTGCCTCAGGTTCAGTTTTCCTATGCTGAATTCAAAATTCCATTCCTCTCCTGCAGTGTCTGTAACCTGCCTGGCGGGAAAATCTCGGTATCTGCATTACACAGAGGAGAGTGAACACAAACCGTGCAAATGGTGCAAAGGGATTCACTGAGAACGTCAAACTTCTATGTATTTAAACAGCATTTGCCCAGCTTTATTACTTGATGAGTGGCCACCCATTATTTCAAATGACAGTTCTCTATAGCAGTGTTTCCCAATTGGGGTTCCGCAAAGCAAAAGTAAGGGTTCCGTGAGAACCCGGCACTCCTCCACTCCCTCTTAGAGACCGACACAAATTGCAGCAGGACTCGGCAGGGTTTTTTTTTTGGTGTTTTTTGCTTAACAAACTGCTGCGGGCCAAAGGGTTCTGTGGCCAAATAAAATTGGGAAACACTGCTCAATAGGATTCCCTCTCCTTTATCCCATACATTAATATCTACTCACAGGCACACGGGAGAAATCGCTTTCTACTTCCATTGCTTGGAGACTTACATAAACTGATTCAACCCCCACTGCTCCTAGTGAAACTATTTTCATTCTTCACCATTCAGTTCCATCTGTGCTGGGCATGACACACATTCTCCCATTTCAAGGGCATCCCTGACTCAAACACAGCACATCTTCTGACACTGATATTTGCTTAGCAGGGCGGTTACACTGACAGCACTATTCTGGGTTTTTTATGTCAAATACCCCTCAATAGTTGCTGAGACAGGTTTCACTCAAAAAACAATACCGCCCCATTTCCAGAAGAGGTCCCCCCGTACCCATATGGCATCCCTACTTAGAACATTCTCGGTGAGTCTCAGACAAGGAGGCACAAAAGAGTGGGGAGGGAATCCTCTCTTGGCCATCTCATCTGGCAGCAAGCCATGGCAGAAAACACATCAATACTCCTGCAAGATTGCTAAGACTTCTGCAGTCAGGCGATTTGTTGCCAAAAAACCAGCAAGGCTTTCAGTTGCTTAGGCAGCAATATTCTCTATTCTTCCTGATTGTGCAAAGCGTCAATCTGGCTTGTGATTCAGTAGCTTTGCAGAGCTTTGCTACTTTTCTGATCTAGCTAATTCTCCAAGCCAACTGTAGGACGATATCTTCATAATAACATGCCCATATTACTGCTTTTCTCAGCTTCAATGAAATCTTATAATGAGATGGCAGACGCTCTTTGGTCCACATTCCTTACTGCAACCAATTTGGCCCCAGCACTACATCTGCTGTACCTACTGGCAACCTGGGTTACTGCTCCTTGATTTCCTGCCCAGTCTTGAATGCACACTGAGTTGCTCTGCCATGCACCAGAGAACTACATGCCAGCTGGGGATGGCTGGACAGGTGGAGAACCTTTGGATTTTAAAACATATGTGAGGCCCAACTGCTCCTGTAGCTACCTGGTTGCTGGGGTTTGCCTGTGCACATTTGTGGACAGAACCCAGTATCTTGTGGTACTCGAAAGGGGGAAAGAGCGAAAAATAAACCCTCCTCAAAGTCCTCTTATGGTTTCAGGGCAAATAGAACCTCTCTTGGTGTTCCAGAGTCCATTTCAGCCTTGGCTTGCCTAAGCGGGGGGATGATGCAGCTTGCACCAGCATTGGGGACATTCCCCCCAGATATGCCCCGGACATCATCATGAACGGCATACACTGAATTAATTGCATGTGGGCACATCCTCCCCCTTCCTCAGAGCTTACAAACACTTGACTAGGATTCCATTTCCAGCACTTTATGCAAACCTCCTCCCTTACTCCACTTACCAAATGAAACAGACACACCGTGGCCCACCACTATTATTTACATTATCACATCACTTCCATGACACTGCCAATTTATTTCAGAAGGAAGATTGGGTCCTTAGGGAGCTCAGCAATTGTGCCTCTGTAGCATAATTCATGAGCACGCCACGGGTTTCCCCCAACAAATGTATTCCCCAGAGGTAGTATTTCTGCTCAGACAAAGGGGGAAGAAAGGCTCTTCAGAAAGCATTCAATACATGCATAACACCACAACAAAGAAACACATTACTGCATTTTTCAGGAAACCATATGCCTCTTTTCCCTTTTCAATGCTACGTTTAGCAGCAAATTTAATAGATACTTTTTCTGAACGGTGAGAAATCTTGGATTTTCTTTTTTAAGTTCTCTGTTCTCTACAAAAGGGCGTGTTATTTGCAGTAGAAATGGGGATTTGGATTCAATCTGGCCAAACCTTCTTGCTCTTTAAGCTTTGGTTTAGTTCATACTCCATTAATCGAAATGCCCCCAAACTGAGCATTCAGATAATTTTTTAAGCTTTAACTTTCAATAATTTGGACATCATATCATATGTTAGGGGGTTCTCTTCTGTCCACATGCAGTTTTGATGAAGTTGAAACTAAGTTACAAAACCAGAAATAGGACTCTCGCTACATATAGTGTGTGTGTGTGTGTGTGTGCCTATATAGATTTGTATCACGATTGGTAACTTGTCTGTTCAATTGGCATGTCATTTTCAATGACCAACAAACTAGTGGGTGTTAACACAAGAGTAAGTTGGGTTAGGTAGAAAGGAGTTAGAACATGAAGTTCTCCAGAAGCCAGCATTGACTCACCACTGTACATGTCAGTGTGATTTCGAAAAGACGTTTCATTATGGGGATTCTCTGTAATAAACAAAAGAACATGAGCGCACCCACGGCAACAAAGCAAGCACTGAGAAATGAAAGCCGTAATGGAGGAACACAAGAGGGCAGGGACAAAATACCCAGGTCAGAACACAAAATTATTTTGAAAACATAAAAATACTGCAGCTATGCAACACAAGCACACAAAATATTCTGAAAAGTGCAACAGTTTGGAAGGAAAGGAAGAAACTGCAACATAAGACAGCAATGAAAGGAGAAAGGACTGCTTCATTGCTACAGGATGTATAATCAAATCAAAATATAAAACCCTTATTTGATATTTTAAACACTTACTGCAATTTAAGTGTTTGATTCTTTTGCTCTAAAGAGTGTGTCTGTATCTTGGAAAAATCCAGTTCTAGTGTGACACAAATGGCTATTTTACTTTTGATTCCTTAAACACACAAGGGAAGCATTTTTCTTGCTATTTTATGTCAGTATAAAACATAGGTTGAACACAGTGAAGCAACAGCACTACCACACAGAAAGGTGAAATAAAACTGAACAAAATTAAGATTTAAAAGTAGTCAGCCAAAAAAGTCCTTTAATGAAAAGGCTTTTTAAGTGCGTCGTGTCTCAAAATCCATTCTTCTCTAACACACACCTATCATTCAGTGACAGGCACTTGTATCTAACAACTGTATATTTTGGAGAGCATTAATTGACGTTACAGGATTGCTGCATGATTAAAAAGAATCAGGGACCAAGATCCAAAGCTGGTGAAAATTGGCATCGCTCCAATGAGCAATGCTGATTTGTACCACCTAGGTTATGTCATCATTTAAAAAAATATCTCCTCTTAAATGTTGGCTGAGATCTAACAGTTATCAGATTTTTAAAAGGGACGCTACAGAAAGTTTTAGAACATTTAAGAACTGGGTACGCTGGTTAGAAGGAAAGTCACTGTCTTGAAGTTTAAACATCAAGAACAGATATGATCTTTCTTCAGAAGGTTTAAGATGACTCATTGGAGTCCAAGAACTACATGAAGCAACTGGGAGTTGGTTTGGAACAAGAACACAGTCCTCGGAGCACTACAGGGGAAAATACAGCCTGACCTTTCTACTGAATCTTTACAAAGTGGGTGGGCAATTTTCTTTCCTCCCATATGGAATATACATTGTGAAAATGGAATATAATAATTTTTGAACAGCTGGATCACCCACTTCTTAAAGCAGCCAACCCCCATAGTTTAAGGCACATATCACAACAGTTAAAAAACAAACAACAAACAAATTTCAATCTCTTCTGGAATGTGATATAGCCAAAAAACATACTATCATAACAGCCAGAAAATTAGACTTCAGGGTGCCTTCTATCCAAGGGCCTCCAGGGGGCTCCAGGGCTGGAATTTGCATGTTATAATAACACCGACATTTCCAAGGGAAGACTTAAGAAAGAGTCCAGGATAATTGAATGGCACAGTGCAGCCACCTTAATGAGCCTTTTAAAGGGCCTGAGAGAACGGTTGCAATAGACACACTGAGAGGAAGAACAGCTATACTATGTGGCTTAGTGTTTATAGCTAAGCACAGAGCTTCTTAGAGCTTGTCAATTCATCAATAATTTCCTTTGCACATTCTTTCCTTCAGCCAATTAATACATTCAGCTACATACTCAGCTGGTGCCAATAGTTCCATTGTCTTTGGTGCTGTTACACCTATTTACACCAGCTGAAAACCTGGCCCTTTATTGGCAGGTAAATGTTTCCATAATTTGACCACCTCTGTATGTGGATAATCTGAATGTTATTCGACTGTGATTATTCCCATCAATCAGCCACAAATCTAGGTACACAGCTTTTGTCAGTCACTACACACAGGGCCCAGTTTGCCACAGTCTTATTCCTAAGCCTACTTGTGAGAGAGTGCCACAAAGGTGCAGAATGTCTCAGCCCATTTTTCAGATCGAATTCTATGCCACTGGGGCTCCACTGATTTCAGTGTACCTCCGAGTGAGATTCCTGCTTTGTCAGTGTTCTACCCCCACTCAGGCACAGCCCGAACTACACTCTACCTGTTCTCGAACGTATAGCACGGTACCTATTTAAAAGCAATATTCCGCCTGCTCTCAAGCTACGGGAAATGCTTCTTTAGCAGAGCTCCTGTTCCTTTAATTCGGTGGCTGCTTGCCTAGTATAACATGACCTTCCAATCCCGTGTTTCAAACACTGCACTATTCCAAGTTCTCTCCTTGGCTGACTGCTCCTCCCAGGGTGCGTGAAGGCATTCAAACAGACTCTCTTTCTCTTTAGACATAGGCAAAGCTGGCAAGCTGCTACAACAGGGAGGTTGAAAGGAAGAGGGGATGCATGTGCGTGGAATGGAGAAGTTGTTGAGCAAAGAAATGGGCATCAGGGAGCGTTTGCCACTTCGGCTGACTCCAAACTGAGACAAGGGGCGAACAGGTAAGGGGAAGCTATGCAGAGAGGCAGAAGGTTAATTGTTTTCACCTGGGATGTTGGTTATCCAGCGTAATGACGATACAACACAACAAAATCTTTGAAACATTGCTTGTGTGGTCCTCCTAACTCCCACAGTGGATGGCCCTGAACTCTCACTGCATTAGACACACAGCCTAGTAATGCCGTTCTCACTGCTGTTTCTTTGTACCAAGCAGCATCTGGGAGAGCTGGAGCTGACTAGGCATGTTCACACATTGCTTGTAGGGATATGACAGTGTAAATGGTTAACCCATGAGCTCATAGGTTAACCTACATGGTTACATGCAGCCCCCCACCCTGCTGCCTCTATATCAGTCTGCTTAAAAGCCAGCTCCTCTCAAGCACTGGCTCCCGACTGCAGCAGCAGTGCAGGGGACTGCGTATAACCATGAAGCGACCTTCCCCTGCCACATATAAACGTGTACCCGCTGAAACTTTACCAGGCACAGTTACCAGGCTAAATGCATTGTAACATCCCGACTTTCTTGTGTAATCCCTTCCCCTCTACTTATTGTTACAATGTCTTTACACCCTGATTTACACCCCAGTGTAAATGTACCCAGGGAGCAGCTCAGCTTTGTGCTCTCGAACTAAGGTGATATTGTGCTTGCCTGACTTGAGATTGTCCCCCGGTGCTGTGCATAGCAACAGCCAGCCCCTGTCTTGTAGGCTTACACATAAATAGTACCCCTTCCCTCACAAAATTTCCACATTGTCTCACAGTTATGATCTTTCTCAAAGTTTCCTCTAGCAGACCCGCAGCAAAATCAGTCCAGACCGAAACCTGCCTTCTCCTATAAACCAGTCTACTTTTAGACCAGAGACGAGAACACCGTGTCAGGAACAAGCATGTATACTCTCCATCTCCTCCTTTAACATACTCAGCTACCAGACAAATGTACATCCCTTGCACCTAGAGGCAAAATAAGGATTCTGAAACAAAGCAAACTGTCTTGCCTATGATCCCCGCAGCGGAGAAATGATTTCACTGGCAGCAAAGGCCTGTAAATGAGATTAGAGACGTAATCTGGTTTGTCCATCTGCAGCCTCAATGTCTTCTCAGGAGACTTCTCATTATGTAGTTAGAGTGAATTACAAACGTGGTGCTCCTGCCCCTAGAGAGGGGGTCCATCTCTGGGCTCACACGGAGGCCACCTGCGAGCCAGCACAAGTTTTCAGTGCAATCTCCTGGGCTCCAGAGGGTAAATTTTTCTGTTAACGTGAATGGGAGTCACACAGCTAAACAGCGGCCCCTTGTTTATATATAATTTGGCCCTGTGCTGTGCGGCTCGTGGGTGAAACAAGGAGACTACATGTGTGTTCACAAGCCCAATATCTTCCCTACCCAGCAAGAGAAACAACGGGCTAAATTCAGGCCAGGCTTGAGCAAGTGAATCTCCAGTGAAATCAAAGGAGCTGCACCAACTTCGAACAGATCTGAACTGGGCCCCGTATAATTCTGCTCTCAGTTACACTGGTGAAATCTCAACAAGTTCAAGGAGATTGCACCAAGAACAAAATGTGACCCAGCATGTTAAGAGATTCCCTGCTGCCTGGGGCTTTTTACCTCATTCTTGCAGGTATTTGTGCACTCATTCAGACTTGCTCTGGAAAGTAGCTATCACGCAAGAGTAAAAGAACTGAGTTCCACTGCAAAGGAAATAACCCTAACCTTCGATGCATCACGAGCCCTTTAAGCAAACCCAAGCTATTGCCTGGAAACGAAACAGACTCTCTCTATAAAAACTGCCCTGCAAAGTGCAGACACTTCTCATCTCTGTGGAAGCTGTTTTGGGGTTCCCTCTTGCACACAACTATAGCATTAGCTATAGACCCGCTTCACCCGATGAGCCGGTGAAGGTCTGAGGTAATAGAGGCCTACAGGTTATTGGTCCAACTGCTACTGTCACCTTCAACTGCCAATGCTTATGGTATTCTAAACCAGGGATGAGGAACCTATAGCCCAGGGGCTGGATCCGGCCCCCGGCTTGCATGGATCTGGCCCCCAAAGCTCAGAGTTCCCCCCAGGATTGGGGAGTCCACCCCAGAGCCATGGGGGACCCCACAAACTCTACAAGCCTGACCCCTCCCCCCAGGCTTTAGTGTGTGAGGGGAATGTGAAGAGTGTCTTTCTGATTTTCAGTCGGGGGCCATGTCAGTGAGGTTTTTTGTGCGGCCCCCAACTGATTTTTCTGTGGGTCAGTGTCCCCTGATCCAAAAAAGGTTCCCCACCCCTGTTTTAAACCATGTTAGGGAAGAAAGCGCCCTCCTGCCAGAGAGATCTCAGAGTTGCCCAGAATGCCTTTTCTGCATGAGACAGCACGATCCAGCGGTGAACCCCTTGCAGAAAGACTTAAAACACCACCCGCGGGTCCAAGCAACACTTACTGGTTTGGATCTTGAGAGTGTATGGGTTCTTCTGCTGGATAGTGTGGGTGAAGTGGAAGCGGGCGTTACAGCTGTAGTCAGTTTGGGCATCCTGCAGCAGCACATTGGAGAAGTACAAGTCGCCGTTCTGGCCCTGGGAGACGCGCTTGTCTTGGTGGATCGGCTCCATGGCTGAGAGAGAAAAAACAGGAATTGGAAACAAAAGCCACCGCGCTGCTGGACTCCCGAACACCTGCCTTAAAACAACTCGGGTGCCTTCTGGCCATGCACTCAGAGAAGCCAGCAAATGCCCAACGGAGGCAGGGTCGCTGAAGTCAACAAAAGTGGATGAGCACAAACCAGTTCTTGTCCTGTGGGCCAGACATGAAACTCTCCATGAACAAAATACAACTGTGGAGGTTGCCAGGCTGTCAGGGACCTAGACCCACACACAGCCCTCCTGGCCTGCCGGAACGGACTCTGTTGGATGGCAAGAACTCAGAGGTTTGCCAACAGAATTCATGCTGCGGGGTGGGAGGGATTTTAAAGAGCGAGGTCCACACACGAGCCAGGCATTCCTCAGGACTGAACAAGGTGATTTGGTTTCAAGCTGCTGCCAACACCATGCCCGGTTACAGCAGAGGCTTGTTTTCTTGAGCCACATCCATTCAGCAGCAAACATTGGCTCCCACAATCTCCTCACCCAACTACCCGCAGGCCAACGGCTCCTCAGCCTACTCAAGCAGCACCAAACCACTGCTCTTCCGTAGATTTCCATGGCCAGAAAAAAACCATTGGGATCAACTCGTCAGATCTTCTGCATAGCAGAGGCCATGGGGCTTCCCCACTTCGTGTGCAATCGGCTGAGATTGAACTAGGGATGGGAACTAGGGCTGCTCCAGCACCACGGGGCTGCTGGCTCTCAGCCTGGGATAGTCTCTGCTTCCAGCTCTGCAAGGCTGACGACTCCTAGCCTGGGGACAGAAGCAGCTGAGCTGAAGCAGCCTCTGCCCGCAGGACATGGGATGCTCCAGCCCCTCTGCCTACCCCGTTTAATCAGTTAATCAGTTAAACTTAACATTTAACTGGTTAACTCATTACAATGGGATTTTACATCCCTAGACTGAGCTAGAACAGATCTTCTAGCAAAAACATCCAAACCTCCATACCCCCGCCCCTTGGCAAGTTAAATCACCCTCACTACTAGCACCTTATTTCCAGTCTGAATTTGTCCCGCTTCAGCTCCCAGCCAATTTCTCCCTTTCTCTTCCATTCCTACATTTTTAAAACCTGTGACCCACAAAGGGGCTAAAAACTCATGCCAGGATCTATCCCCCACAATTCCTGAGGCTTGTGGGCCGGGACGTGGTTTTCTCACTAGTTTGTGGGACATGGGACAACAAAGAAACAAAAAACAGAGGTTGAGCACCCTCGGCCTATGCCAGGAAACAACCGTTCCATTTCTGCTGCAATTAAACGGGAGAGAAGGGAGTCTGAGGTTCTTCATTACAACACACATCGCGATCAGTCAAGATTTCCCTCGGTGAAACAAATGGTGCCGGGAGCCGCAACCATCTGACCCCTGTCCCCACTTACAGCTGCTCATCCAGAAGATAACAGGGGGAGGCAGGCCTGGGGGTGGGTTGCATTTTAAAGTTAGCGGAGCTCCTTCATCAATCTCTACGAGGTCCAAATGTTCCTTTGGCCACAAGGGAGACTCTGCAATCAAAAGAAGATGCGGGAGACACGGCAAGCATTGAGCTGAAGGGAATATACTGGGGGAGATTTGTTGTTGTTTTGAAATCATATCACCCTCTCAAAGGACCTGGCCTGGTTTCAATGGAAAAACCCTGGTGCAGTTTCATTTTTATGGACCCAGGTTTCTTGTGCTACGATATTTCACCCTCCAAAAAGTACATATCTTGGAAGAGCTCTAAGGACGTGTCTGCACAGCACCCTAAACTCAAAATAAGATATGTAATTTGTGCTATGCAAATTGCATCTCTTATTTAGAATCAATTTCAAAATAGCTTATTTTAAAATGTGGCGTGTCTACACAGCGCCAAATTTCGAAAATGCTGCACCATTCCAAGACATCCCTTATCCCTCATGAAACAAGGGTTACAGGGAAGCTGAAATAGCGTGCTTGGTATTTCAAAAAATATTTCAAAGTAATGGGCGGCTTGTTAAGATGCAGGGTAGCTATATCAGGATATCAGAGGTATCCCAAAATAGCCACGCAGTGTAAATATACCCTGAGTGTTTTACAACATTACTTACGATTAAGCTTCAACAACAACAGTCTCTAGAAGGTTAGTGTCATTACCCCTGTATTACACATGGGGAAACTGAGGCATGATGCGGCAAGACTTGGGCATGGTTACACAGCAGGTTAGTGGCATGGCAAGGAAGAGAAACCCAGGTTGCCTGGTTCACAAGTCTGGTTCTAACCACCAGGCTATGCAGCCTCTCCTAGCTGACTCTGCTGTCCATTGTGATCAATTACAAACTGATGCTTGCGTGTGCGCTATGCCCAGATCCCACAGTAACCAACAGATGTGAAGTTAGGCAGGATACAATTATTGCAATTGGGTTGGTGAATATAGGAGCGGGAGTGTGTGGGAAGGAAAGGAAGACCAGTCTGCTAGTCCACGTCAATAATGGGTATTTTATTACCACTCTACATCCCTTGTTGGTTGTGCCAGGCTGAATTAAAGGAAAGACACATACTCCAGGATGTGGCATTTGCATGGCAAATATTTCCTTCTGTACACTCTATACCAGGCAAACACTTTGAATCAAATCAGGACCACTCAGCTACCAGAGGCTATAGACTGCCTAGCTCAGCCTTAAAAATGACAAGCCGACATTACTCACTGGAAACCTGCAGGAAGATTTTGCTGGAGAGCGCCGTCCCGTACTCATTTCGAGCAAAGCACTGGTATTCCCCCTCATAGTCCTCCGGTCTCCCGCCGCCACGAAAGTCGATGACCAGTGTCCCCGACCTGCGCTGCATTGAGACCTTCGGGTCTTTGGCCACGTTGAAGAACTTCCCATTCCGTGTCCAAGAAAAACTGCCAGCGTTGGACATGCATGTGTTATGTGATCACGTGCGCACAGGAAGAGCCTTACCAGCTCTTATGGTTATATTTAACCTATCAGCCGTTAACTTTCCCACATAATAAAACACATTCACACAGAGTTGGTTGCTCTTCCATAAAGCCTTCCAGGGCCAAGGTCTCACTGAGTACCAGGCTTTCACCTCTTGCATATTCCCACCTTAAATCTATCTGTGTATTTATATGGCCTCTATCACCGTGGTGTCTGAATTCCAGAGCTAAGCACTGTACAGTGGAATGTAAGAGGCCAAGTTCTTTGCTGGTATAAAATTGATTTCAAGGGTGCCAGTTCACACTAGCAGAGTTTGGCCCAAGGTAGCCGGCCTTTCTATCTGGGACCCATTTTTGCATTTTTCTGCATCTCAAAACCACCAGGACATCAAGGTCATGAGAACTTTAAAATGCACTCACGTCGGAATGGGGTTCCCTTTGGCTTCACATTCAATGAAGATGTTATCTCTTGGGTCTACAATATAGTCCTTCACAGACTGCTTTGTAATTGTAGGGGGCTGCGGTACTGCAAAAGACACAGAAAGAAAAAAGAGTGAGGAGAAGCCCTTTACTCATTATCCTTCAGTGGAATTCTCCAGGGAATGGAGTGAGGGATTCACTGTTTACATTCATCATCTTTGAAATTGCCAGTGTCAGTAGAAGGATCCTTCAAAATATAAGAGCTGCATATTTCCGTCTTAGGGATTCAAACTCCCTGCTCAAGCTGTTTCTTGCCACCAGCAGGCTATTTGATGTGAATTTCTTTTTTAAAAAATACTCTCTCTCTATTAACATGGCAGTCAAAGACAGAACACAAACATCCCTGTTTTAGGTAAAAGTTCCTGCAAAGAGCAATCAAGGCTGCACACATTCAAGATAATGGACTGAAAACTTCCAGCAATAGTTCTAGCTTGATATCTAGGAGATAAGGCTTGGGAAGACTAAAGAATATACCAATGACCAGTTCAGGGTCATGCTCTGCACCATTACTCTGTATTTAACAGCAGTGTAGTTTCAGAGACTCTCTACAGATTTATCCCTGCACCAAGACCACAGGGGATCAGAATCCGAACCCTAGTCTCTTATGCCAGGAGTGGGAAACAGCTTCAAGTGGAGATACTTGTTCATTACTAATTTGATAGAGGAAAATGATCGGACATGCACGTCCATTATTTAGTAGGAGCGGTCAAACAACAGTTTTACCTTCAGTTCTCTTAGTGTTTATGTTGCAAGATTAAGTGTCTGCTGCGACATGATCGCTTCTTTATTAAAAGTGAAATCTCCCTAGAGCAGCGGTTCTCAAACATTCCCACAACATGATCCCCACATTATGGGTTCCAATTTCCCACCATTCAAAAGTTCACTTCCTTCAGTACACGAGGCAAGTCAAGGTTAGCTTCCCTCTCTCAGACTCCATCTTCTCTTTGCTGCTATTCTCATATCACATCATTTTGCAGTACATCTGTTTTACTAGGGTCCCCTCTAGTTCTGTTTGGGTTTATTTCCTGTCCGCATATACCTTATGTACAGAAAAGTAAGTGAAATGCAGCTAATTCAGGCCAGATTCTTCTTAATCTGGGTTCCAATGTCCGATGGAGTATGGGGGAAGGGTTAGGGTGTAGGCTAGAGTACGGCAGATTCCCTATACCACACCCTGACTGCTTGCCTTCCCAATCCTCTCTCAAGGTGCCAAACGCAGGGAAGAGCCAGGCTGCTTAAGAGCTAAGATATACAGTCATCTCTGAGCTGTGCAATGAGTTGGGGGCAATTCTATCGCTGCCTTCACAGCAAATCTATTTGCTGCACCCCCAGAATTCATGCCCCTCTGCATGTCTAGCAATTCTCAATGAGACATGCATGCCAGGAGCTTTAGGTTTATGGGCAGTTTTCTGATTCAAAGATGCCAGCTGCATATGGCTGAAGGGGAAAGGGCAGAGCCACTTTGGAAAGGCAGGGAGTTAGGTTGGAAGCAGACAAATGGTGGTGAGAATCTCATGGCAAGACAGAATCGGAAAGGTGTCCTTATGAACCACCATTACAACAAGAATAGTCCTCTGAACGTCCCCACCTACAGTTTGAGAACCGCTGCCTTGGAAGGTCTGCTGTGTCTTCCTATTTGCAGCTCTGACCTCCACTGTGAACCTGCTCATCTGCAAGAGCCAACAGAAGCATCTGCAAATTAGGGCATCCGCTAGCCTGGATTTAAAATTCGGAGCCAGACTCTGATCTCGTATAAATCCAGAGTAACTTTGTTAGAGTCAATGGAGTGACGTAATCATTAGTCAGATCAGAATACAGGAGGCTTTTAGAGGCAGCGCCGTTTTGGAATGTTCAGCCATTGGCCGAGACATCTGCATGCTGGCCAACAGACAGCCAATCCGAGGAGGCAGAGGTGCAGCCAAACTCCCCAGCTCATGCGCTTAATATCTGAATGTTCCTACGGCATCCCCCTCTCCAAGCCAGATGCTGTGTTAGTGGATTCTGTTTTACTCTGTCTGGCCATCACAAGCCGCTCAGGTTGCTCATGCTGCACCCCTGTGCACTTCGCGTCAAGCGACGGCCCCCACTGCACAGCGGGTATTGCTTCCTTCCGCTCTATTTCGTAATGGAAGAGGGAGCTAATATACAAAAAACAAGACAGGGTAGGACTTACATTCACTTTGAATATTTGCTGTTAGTTCCGAGGTGTAAGCATTACAAAAAAAAAAAAAAAAAAAGAAGAAGAAACAGAAGATGGTTAATTGAAAAAGAATCCAACAGATTACGTAAGCAACATGGCTATCACAGGGACTATAAATGTGTCAATATCCAAACATGGCCACTTTAGAGTAAATGGTACAAATGCCTTTTAGCCCACTTACCTTCATTTAAACATGGGAAAATCTCCATCAAAACCACGGTTCTTTCATATTCACAATGAGGATTACACATCCCAGGATGCTTTCCCCTCTCCCACCTCACACCTGCCTTTTAAAAGCTGCACTTGTGAATTTAGTGCAGTTGAATGGTGCCAAATCAGCTTCATGGGGCTCTCGGCTCCGGCCCCAGCCTTGGCGCAGTGGGCCCAGCGGGACTGGAGCAGCCCTCCATCCACAGCAGGCCACGGGCAGGGGGCTATTCTCGGGCATCGGTTAACCGTTATTCGGTAAGCATCACCCAGTAAGGGATGAATCACCTCAGTAGGGATGTGAAGGGTGATGCTTACCAGGTAACCAGTTCACATCCCTAGTTCCAAGCTGGAGGAAATGAATACCAGCACACTGCTCGATGGACAACTCCCCATCCTCCCCAAGTGTATTGTTGCGATTCTGTGTAACATTTGCCTTGTCCTCACATCATAGCATGAAGCTCCGAAACTTTTGGGAAGTGGGGAAATCCCAGTTCCATATTCAGCAATGCCTGCACAAGTTGGGGCTCAGGGAGCCAGACTTGATAGGAGAAGTGGGACCAAGAGTCTAAGTAGGCTTTTGGTTAGAAAAAAAAGAAGTGGAAGAACAATGAACGTATCCAAAATAATCAAGTTACCAACAGCGGGGACACTTTTCCTTCTGATAGTGTTTCTGGATGTTTGTACATCATGTAGCACAGAGAGTCACTGATCCTGGTAGGGATGGGGTCAGAAAGGGAAATGCTATCCCTAAAGAAAAGCAGCAGCTTCATGGCTAACTACTACTGTAACACAAGGTAAAAACCGCAGGGTTAATTTTAGAGGGACCTAGTGAGGGTTTTAAGGAGAGTTGCTGATTTATTTGCATTTGTAATGGTCTTGGTTGCTTACTGAAAGAAATGTAACTCACTGTATTTCTTTACCAATTCTAGTAAAAGCAATAAGCAGATAAAAAGGAGACTTTCATAATAAGGCACAACTATTATACCTTTTGTTAATGAAGGCTTAATACTATCATTATATTACTGTTACAAGGAATTCATTTAAACTAGAGACAAGTCTTATTCAAATATATGCTGACTTTCCCAACAAATAATAATTAACAATATTGCCTATAATGCAAAAGCAAAGTTGGCTTATGGAATATTTTAGAGCGGTGAGAAGAGGGGCAGAAAACAATACTTAAAATTATAGAGCCATAGTTTGGTACCATTAAGACCCTTCAGGTGCCACAGTGGTTTATTAATTCACTGCATGAGCCACGTATTATTGAGCGGTTTACCCCAGGATCTCTGCATGCAGCAATACAACTGTTCTACGTAGCTATACAATTAAAAGACATACGTTAATAAAACTTTTCACTTTAAAGTGTTCTGAATCTACAAATCGCATTAATTAGCATTCACAACATTCATCACACAATAAGAGTATTACCCCTGATATTACAGGTGGGGAAACTGAGGCAGAGAGGGGCTGTGATTTGCCCAATGTCACAGAGAATCTAACATAGATCTCCTGACTCTCAGTCCACTGCTCTAACCACTAACAAGCACTGCCTCCTTATTTCTCTAACCGCTGCAGAGTGAAAGATTTTAGCTCTCCAAGACTCCCCTTTTTAAACCTGACTGCAATTGCTGCTCTAGCTAGACACACGACCCACTAGCAGCTGAGCTGGCAAGCTCCCGGAGAGGGAGCGTCCTAGTTCAGGAGGCAGCATCTCTGTCTATTATAGACCCTTCCTGCTCCATTGATGGAGGTTCACTGCAATACACATCCATGCACCTGTAGAAAGAGCTAATCCCCAGGAAGGAAGGCAGTGCTGCACAGTTCAGAATACACAGGGAATAAAGCTCATCTGCTTAGACAGCTCACAATTTGCCCACATATCAGGGCCCAGCACAATCCAGGAGCAGCTGTGGCTGTTTATGCACCACCTGCTCGACTTAGCAAAACCTGTAACCTTCCAAGAAGGGAGTGATGGGAATTTGTTAGGCAAGTCTTGGAGCTGAACCTTGAGCAGCCACAAGAGGGCTGGAGGGTTAAAAGTGAGATTAAAACGCCAGCTCCCCCCGCAGTTCTAAAGGCTTTGTCAGCAGGAGAACGACTTGTGCTCAATGTCTTCAAAGAGTGAAACAAAACTCCTTGGAACGGGCTCAGCTGGTGGGACAGATATCGGGCAAGATCTTTCCCTCCTGCATCCATTTGGGATGCCCCGCTTATGGATTTCCCTCCTCCCCCCCAGAAGTTGCTGCGGGGAGTGGCAGTGCTTTGAAGTCTGCCCAGTGGCACTGAGTTCATTTGAATTTCCTTAAAAAAGGCTAAATTAGGGGAAGACAGGCGTGCCCTGCCCCAGAGCCTGGCTTCCCCTTTATCTTCTCATCCGGCTACAGGCAGTCACACAAAGGTCCTGTCTGAACGGTGGTTACGGTAGTGAAATATGGTGGTTGGTTTCAAACAAAGCGTGGATGGAGTCAGAAAGGGAGCTGCTCTCCCTCAAGAGTGGCAAACAACTTAATGGCTAATGCACACCAGTGCGGTCTCCTTGGCTCTGTTCCTCACTCCGTGACCAAGACACGTAAGGACCACTGATGCTAGCAAAACTATCGTAGCAGGGAGCTGGAGAAGGGGCTCGTGTTATAATTGACTGTTAGGGATGATGACAGTTTGGCCCTGCCTATATAGTTAGAATCAGAGGCCAGAGCTACACTAGACCCGACAGCTCAGCCTAAGGTGCGCAACTCCAGCTATGCAGAATATGTCGCTGAAAGTAGCTTCTGCCGAGCTTGGTGGCACCCCCACAAAGGGAGGCTGATGGGATCAAATGCTAACATCGGCTTCCCTTACTTCTCACAAAAGGAGGTGAACTGGACACCAGCAGGGTTGCCCTCTGAGTTCGATTTAGTAAGTTTTAGCTAGACTCACTACATCAAAATCTGGAAGATCGATTGCGGCAGCTGCAATCTTCCATTTAGCATAGAACGAAGCCAGAGTTTATTAATCAGGGCAGCAAGCACAGTTTTGTTGCATCTACACAGACCAGATCCAACTGGCTTATGATGGCATCCCTAGACATAATTTTGTGAGTGTAGATGGGTCCTGTTCCCCATCAGCAAAAGGCAGCTCACTTCAGTATGTATCTTAAGGATTATGGAGGGCCAGTCATCTTCGGACATAGGCACTGAACACAACAAAGTAACAATCATAAAGGTAAACCAAAGCATTTAAAACTATTTCCACTTCTGCACTTCTCACAGAGATGAAAATACTTTCCTACCCCAGGTGGTGGTGTGAGGCTCAAGCAATTGTTAGACACTTCAAGTCCCTTCGGTCAAGGGACCATAGAAACATAAAGCAATATTCTACTGAATTGAGCATTTCTCTCTATTTTTCTCTGGTTGCATTACACTTGACTAGGCAAAACAACTCCTTCCTTTATCAAAGGCACAAGGAACAGCAGCAGAAAGCTGTATTTGAAATCAATTCTTTTTTTTTTCCTGGCTGTACTGCTTCTACTTCCGTTTCAGGCAGCTCACATTTCTGAAAGGGCTCCAAGTTCTTAAAGCAGGGCCTGATAAGTGACACAATCCAACTGTGTGCACAAAATGCCTTCTAGTTAGGAACAAGGAAGTGCAGTGTGCATATAAAAACACCACCACCTGCAGCTACACAGAGTTTTTCATCCCAGATCACTCAGAATGAGGCAGGACAGGGACCTGAATGTGGATCCCCAGGCTAGGATCTTAGTCACCAGGCTGCAGAAGGCAACAGGGGAAGCATGTCTTTCTTTTGCTAGCCACGTTCCTGAAGGCAACTTTGTCAAAACTCGGCTCAAATCACCTATTTCCCACCGAGCTCACATCAAAACGTCCACAACATGCATGAAAGTTCAGATGTGGATCTCTATGGGGAAGCTCAGGTCCATCATCCTGAAACTCTCATAAACATCAAGTAACTCTTCCATCACGGACTTTGTGTCCATTTACAGATCCTATTAAAAATTGCTTTGTTTGGGTTTTAAGAATCGGTGAGCTCACCCAAAGCCTCCTCTCCATTGATAATACTGTACCCTTCCGTAGCACCTTTCATGAAAGGATTTCCATGTTCTTCAAAGTCACAATGAATTCTGTGAGGTGGGGTGGTGGTGGTGATGATTAACACCACCCCCTTTTACAGAGGGAAAAAAGAGGCAGAGAGTGTTTAAGTAATTGACCCAAGTGGCCAAGCCTGGAATTGAATCTGAGCCAATGACACTTTTGCTGTGCTCTAACCACTAGACAACACAGTCTAGAATATGTGCGCACAAGGGCATACATTCTCTAAGCACTGGTGTTAAGGCAACTTAACAAATAATTCAACAGCAATTTCATTGCCCTGCATTTTCCCCCACATTTGTCCTCCTGAATAGAATATAAATCCTGCCTACTAACTGACCCAAAATGGCCTGATGAAAGAGATAAAAATTGCCGAGTTCTATATGTAACCTTCCTGATAACCCGGTTTCCTCCTCCTGCTGGGACCAGACCTAGCTACATCTTGATGACAGCATCTGCCTGGGAGGACTGCTAATGAGATTCTTGCCTCCACCAAGGAGCACCCTATACTCAGTCTCCATGGTAATTGCCCGTATCATACATCTTCAGAGTCTCTTAATTATCAGTGGCATGTCAGCTCGTGTCTTAACACAGCTGCAACCTGTGGGGTGGAAATGCCCTCATCTTCATGTAAAGCCCATAAGGGTGAATCCATATTTCTGGGGCTGATGAAGGGTAATTACATGGCAGCATGTAGCTAAGAATGGTAGGAGGGGATTCAGTGTACCTTGGTGGTGTTCTAACACCTCTCCGAGCCAAACAAATATGTCTGGAGTTTCCTCAGCCCATGTACAGCAGAAAGGAAAGTGGGAATAAAGAAAAGGAAACCCTTTTTTCCCCTGGTTCTCCTCTCAGCTCCACCATGTTTCCTTCTTGTCAGAATGAGCCCCATCTATCTTCTACTGCACTGTGTGAAGACAGTGTGTTACTAATGCTGCATATCTCTGCAGACATTTGTACCTTCTCCTAAAAAGAGGGACAGAGTTATATCTTCCTTCTCACCTATGCACAGTGTGTATGCAACACTCCTCTCCCCAGGCCATTATGCTCATGGGAATTATACAAAACAGCATTGGGCACAAGGGTCTTCCCATGTGCAGACATTGGAGGACTGGCGCCTGTGATAGATGGGATGTGTACTATCCTTTTCCAGACATCCCAGCATTCAGTAACTAACTTGCCTGTAAAGGGTTACACCAAGAACAGTGGGTATCCAGGAAATGTTGGCAGGGAGCCAGGAGAGCCAAGGGTAAGAAAGTGTGAGATCTGACTTGAAAGCAGTGATGTGCCTGCTACAATGCTTTGTGTGGTTTGTAGAAAGAAAGAGCTGAGAAGAGACATGAAGTAAGCCTTGGGAGCCAGACATGGAATGCCCAGCAATATTCAAGTCTAAAAAGGATGGAACCTTGGAATAACAAATGTGAGTAGACAGGGAATGTGTAGTTAGATGCAATCAGGTTTTTTTAAATTCTGGTTTGTGAACTCTGTGCTGAGTCCAGGTGCCCCCTTCCCGTACACTGAAACTGAAGCTGAATCCCAGGGAAGCAATTCTCTGTATTTCAGTCTGTTTTTCTTTGTTCCTCTGTAACACCTGGCAACTACGTATGCTTTATCCAGTATATCTTTTTTGTTTTGTTAATAAAATCACCTTTTTAAGGCTATGGTCTGATTCCTGTGTCTTACAAAGCAGGAGAGTCTGTATGCATGTGTCTAAGACAGAGAGGTCAGCTATTAGAAATTCACTTTGTTTTTAAGCTCTCCTGAGGGAGGGTAAAAGAGTTCTCCCCAGGAAGAAATTCCCAAGTGAATCTTCCTGCGTTTGGAAAAGGGGTTTTGCAGTTGGGTGGTGGCAGCATACCACCCGAGGTCAGGGAATTGGTGACCTTCAGGCATTTTTAAGCAGAAACCTATAGAGACAAGGTATTTTAAAGTCTCTTGCAGACCCCATCTTCTGCACTTGAAGTACTTGCATGGGAAACAGCCTGGATAGAGCCCCAGTTGGCATAAGGTACTTCCCTAAGGGCTCCAATCATTTCAAAACGAACAGTTCATATCTAAGCAACCCTAACAGGAGCTAAAGGTTGGCAATGGAACAGGACTACACAGGTTGACCTTGTGGGGAGGAGTCGCTTACTCCTTTTCTTCCCTCTTTGCTACTACAACAATCGTAATGGAGATTTTTAGAGAACGTTGAAAATAAATCTGTAAACTTACGATCCAGGGGAACTTCAATGGCTCTGATGATATGATGAAGGTACAGAGCCAGCACTGCTCCGGTGTAGGTTAGGAGATACCTTTGCATTACCATTTTGAATGTTTGGATAGTATTATGCCTCCACTTTCCTTCAACAGGGCAAGCTGGCCTCTTGCCACAGTAGTGGGAGTCCTTGGATTCTCAGCTGCAAAATAAACACAAGCCACAAATTAATGAGCTGATTACAGAACTCTCTGTGTTCCTCATTTCCTTATGGGGGGCGGAGGGGCATCAGAGGACAAAAGCAATTTCCATCTGTAATGCAGTGGCTCTTACAGGCGCCAATCAAAGCTCGGAGTCCCATCGTGCTAGGCAGTGTCCATGCAAATAGTGAGAGAGTCTTTGCCCCCAAAGAGCTTACAGTCTCACATTTGATGTGAGATGTGAGCCCCAGAGAATCCTCTTGCATCTTCACTGGCTCCCAGTCATTTGACGACCAGAGCCGTAGCGAGGGTGTTATGCACCCGAGGTCAAAGGCAAAATTTGCACACACACCCCTCCAGCGCACGGCTGAGCCTGACCCTGGGAGGAGGGCAGGGGAGCTTGTACCGTGTTTCCCCCACCCCCTCCAGTTTGGGACTGGGCCCCCACATGCACTAACCTGCCAGCAGAAATGGAAGAGGGACGGGCTGGGGGCGGAGAGGAGGCAGGCGAGCCAAGCGGTCACAGGGGGAATGGAGGGGGACCAAATTTGCATCCCCCCAGCATGGCACCTGAGAGCAACTGCCCCACCCTTGCTACGCCACTGTTGACGACATAATCAGAATACTCAGAAAGATGCTTGTGAACTAAAGATTTAGAATCAACCTCTTTGAAATGCTTCATGTCATCAGTCTTTATTGGATCTTTGCAACACATGCCCCTACTTTACATGGGGGGAGGGGGAGGAAATGAACAGGAGGACAAGAAATGTATCCAAATCCATATCATGAGTCACTGTCAGAGCCAGGATTAGAAATCCAAAAGTCCTGACTTCCTGGCCTGTGCTCTGTCCTGTCATACTGCCCCTCTCAAATAATTTGGTTGTGAAAGAATCCACGCCTCCGATCTTGCATCAGAACTCCTCTTTCATAGACGTTGCCTGGGTTGCTGTAAGAATTGCCCTAGCCAGAGATACTAAATTATACTGATTTAAAACCTGGAGCACTTAAAAAAATGCATCAATGATCAAATTCTGCTCACCATGAGATGGATACAGATCTGGAACAGCTTAATTAAAGCATCCTCTCTGTATGCAATCAAGGAATCTTTCCCAAAGATGCACACTGAATCAAAAGCAGACTCTGGTCCTGAAATCAAAGCAGCACTGGCTAGCTCTTATGCACGGATCTCACAGCAGGATGGGGGCCTCGGCACATCTCAGTGGGGTCATCTAGAAATATGCGGGGAGGGGGGCAATTTTCAAGTGCTCAGCACCCACAACTTCAAATCTGCCCCAAACAGCTCAGCAGCCAGCAGCTCCTGTTGTGAATTTTTCAGCTTAACAGTGAGCACTGAACTCTTGAAAATAGGACCCCACGTATAAGATAAAGATCTTGCCTATTACTTCAGGGTGGACCTCCTTGATCTGACACCTTTGGGACCTGCACAAGTCTTGTTCCAGCCCCTGCTGCTTCCCGTTCCCCACCATGGCCACCAGCCCTGCTCCCAGCCACAGGTGTCTCCCTGCCCTGGCCACTAGCCCCGCTTGGACTGTCCTGCTGCTGCCGCTGACCTTGTGCTGCCCTTCACAACTGTCCACTCTGGCTGGGACACCAATAATGCCACACCCCCTGGCCTGGATGCCGTCATCAGCTGGGACACCGAACCCACTGGCCTATGACTACTCTCCCCTAGCCAGGCTCCTGGCCGCAGACTCTCTTGCTACCTGACTCCCGACTGCCAGGAGCCGATCCTGCCGGACCATGGATGTTGCCGGACCAGAGAGTCCCAGGTTTTAGAGGTTAAACCTGCACAGCATATGCCCACTGTACTTTCAATTTAAACCCCAATCAATGATCAAAGTCCACAGTAAGAAAATTCCAAACACTGAGGACAAACAAATGTTTTCTTTGCTGTTACTATGAAGGTTAGAAGTAGGTGAACCATGGCAAATGATTTTCACAAATCCCTTAAAAATTAGATACCAAAATCAAGTTTGCTGTGTTCACAACCCCATTGATCATTTGTTTATAAACATTCACCCTAAATCAACTCTGATCAAGAATAATAGGGAGAAATTGCACATTCGTTTCAGCATGCAAACATTATGCTGTGCCTAGTGACTAAATTTAAGTTACTCAGGACTAATGAAGAGTGAAACCAACCATAATAAATAAATACCACAAAAGACACAGTGTATTTGTGAATATAAAAAATGGGCTGCATTTCACTGAAGCTATACAGAGAAGAGTTCAAAGTAGGAATGTGAATAATTAACTAGTAAGCACCAGTTATAGTTAACCAGCAGGGGCTGGAGCAGCTCCCACCCATCACTGGCCGGAGAGCATCCCCATCCATGGTGGGCCTGGCATGACATGCTGTGGGCAGGGGTACTCCAGCCTGCCCACCCTCTTTTAAGTGGTTAACAGGTTAAACATAAAGTTTAACCAGTTACCTGATTAAATGGGATTTTACATCCCTAGTTCAAAGTGCTAATGAAATCCCATGCCATGTGCTTCAACAGAGCCAGCTGACGGGTAACAATTATTACAATAGCATTATGCTGTGTGAATATCATACTGTACGTTACAAGATAAGACGACTTGTGGTCATTTATGGAAAGCTGAGCTCAGCTGTAGCATCTCTTTGTCGGGAAGCTTTCTGCTTTTTACTCAATTTTCCAGCTGGACTGAGGTTCAGAAGGTCAACAGGCTTGCCTGGGGTCATGCAGTGAGTCAATATGCTAGCTTGGGGCCTTCTGGCTCCTACGCCTTTGTTCTAAGCACTAAACCCCATGGCCCTCTTCTTATGACGCTTATGGCACACAGAGGAGTTTTACTCATGAGATAAATCCTATCCTTCCTATTACTGAAGTCAACAGGCCCAGTTCTGCCCTCTTTTCTGCAAGCAGAGCTGCCTGGAACTCCAATGTGAGTGGTACAGATGTAGTGGGAGAACAAATTGGCCCTAGTGGAAGTGACAAGTATAAAGAGAACAGATGTGATCTTACTCCTGTTACAGCTGATGGGGAAAACTCCTTTAACTTCTGTGGGAAGAAGTAGATCAAACTTCAAAATGGAAAATACACACACACACACACACACACACACACACACACACCCCCTGCTCCGGGTGCAGAGAGCCAGAACATGGGCGTATGCACCAGTCCTGTTTGAAGGGCATATGTGGGGCTTGCCCCTGGTGCTGAACCTCTCTGCACGGGGAGAACGGCACACAAACAGATGAATCAAAGTAGCAAATCTTGCACACCAGCAGCTCCTGCATCGCAGGGGAGCATTGCATGCTTTCACTTTACGGGAGCCTTTCCAGTGGTTTTCTGAGGCTAGGTCTACACTAGGGGGCAATGTCACACTATGGTAGGTAACTCCAGAGATGTGAATAGCATAGCTGGAGTTGACGTACCTTAATATGAATTACCAAGGCGTCTTTACCGCCAGAGGGGGGTGTTGATGGGAGTAACTCCCCTGTCAACTCCCCTTACTCTTCTCAACCCAGTAAAGTACCGGAGTTGACAAGAGTGTGATCAGTGTTCGATTTAGCAGGAATTTACTAGACATGCTAAATCAACCCTCGAGAGATTGCTCACCGCATTGTCGAGCTCCCGGGAAGTGTAGAGAAGGCCTAAGTGAGCAGAGTCAAAAACCTGCTCTGATTAGAGCTTCTGCAGTTCAGAATAACTTCCCCTGCCATACCTGGAACTGGGAGATTTCTGATTGGGGCTTTCTATAGCACGGCAGCAGGGATGTTTTGGGAATCTATGGAAACGCCAACTGAAATGAGGGGAAATGTTGTTTGAGAAGGACCTGAGCTCTTTAAGGCTTGAGCCTTCAGACAGAATTTCCTCCTGTCCCTCCAGTCACATCTAAGAATCACACTGAAGTCAGCGAGGTTACCCCGATACAAATGATGGCTGAATTTGGTACTGCACGTGAGAGGTCTGTATACTCGTTATTTAGTTCTGTTTCATCTTCCCATACCTGAAAGAGTCTTTTGAGGCACACAGGGCACATCTAAGAGACGCAAGCATACACTGTCACATCAACAAATCAACACCTTCAGGTGTTTGCAGGATGTGAAACTTTTCAAGCCCACCAGCATTAGGTCTTTTGTTGCTTTTTTTCAACATGGATTAAAAGACAAGGCAAAGGAGGAGATATAATCCCATTAGCTGGGCTTTCATAATTCATTGGAGATTGCATCGTGGCTGAATTGTTAGGGTGTCTTTAATAGTGTTATAAATACAGAGCATTAGTGGCAGACCTGCAGAGAGATCTCTTAGCAGATACCCAACATTAATACAGAACAGCAAATAGCTGAATATCTCCAGAATTATTTTCATGGGTTATGTCCTCTCTCTTTTCACGAGGGCTTTTTAGTTTAGTTTTGTTTGTTTTTTGATGCATACTACCAGATGAGTGAGTGGTGCAAGGGCAGGTCATTTGGCAGGCTAGGAAAACCCATTGTTAGCAGAGGCATGTGCATGTGACTCACCATGCAGTTGGAAACCTCTGCTGCCACGCTTGTGTGTGTGGGAGGGTTGCTCAGGATGCACAGTGCTGCTGCAAGCCCACAGCTGTTGCATGTCAAAGCAGAACTCAGCCCACGCTGTCACGACCTTTCCTCTCGCTGAGACGGAAAGCGTGGAGAGAATTTCACTCATGCAAAGGAACGGAGCTTCATTCAGGCATATGCACGCATGGAGATGCTACTGGCCATGAGACTCTCTGAGGCTTTAAATGCACTTCAATGAGTGACTCAAGGGATCTGTGAGTTGAAATTTTAAACAGGAGATTTTGGAAACATCCCGATTACATTGCCATGCTGGAAATTAATTGAGAATGGGACTCTGGCACATAAATCCCTCCTCTTAAGGCATGGGAGTGTGAGCTCTTCCTCCTCCTGCACTCAGTTCTGTCCTAAAGCTTTATCACCTTCGCTACAGGACCAAAAATATAAGGACCAAAAACGTAAGCCCATCCCATC